CCCCAAGATTCGCAATTCTTAGCAAAGGTTCTTTACATATCTGCTTTTTACAAAATTTCTTTTCTATCAATCATGAGAAAATATGATGAAATCTCATCAGATCCCAATCTGTCTATAGATTTCACACACCTTTTGTATCTACATCCCTCTGACAATCAATAGATCAATCTTGTTCCTCAAGTGCTGCGAGGAACAAAAAATTATGAGGTCTGGAGCCACTCTATAAGACTCACGCTAGGAATAAACTCAGGATTATAGACGGGACATGTATTCATGAAGATCAAGATCCCAAGCTTTGTGGCCTGTGGGATCATTATAACGCCATCGTGCTGTCTTAGTTGGTAAATTCAGTCGACAAACGGATTGCAGTATGGCTGGATTTGAAGCAAAGATTCCACAAAGCTGATGGTCTACGAATCTTTGCTCTTTACAAGGCTATTAGTTCTCTCACTCATGGTTCAATGAGTTTCTCTGTCTACTATACCAAAACGAAGGATCTTTAGGATGAATTTGATGCACTTATGCCATTACCTACATGCAAGTGCGAAACCACACAAGAATATAACAAGATGATATAGCAATAAACACTCCCCCTTATGATCAATAAAAATGATACTGCTTCCTATTTGAAAAGTTTTCTCTCTTATGTGAATACTCGGTTCTCCTATGTGATTAAAAGATTATGAATTGATAATGGGCTTGAGTTTGTTAATGCTGACTTAAAGAATCATCTCAATGAAAAGGGGATCTTATATGAAACTTTGTGCCCATACACACCTCAACAAAATGGGGTAGTGAAACGTAAACATAGGCATCTATTAGAAGTTGCTAGGAGCTTGCTTTTTCAATCTCATGTGCCCTTAAAATTCTGGGGGGAGGCCATTAAAACTGCTACCTACTTAATAAATAGGACTCCCTCTATTGTCTTACATCATAAAACCCCTTATGAAATAATATATGGGCATCAACCAGACTTATCTCTTCTTAAAGTGTTTGGTTGCTTGGCTTTTGCTACTAATCTTAATCCCAAAGATAAATTTCAAAGTAGGTCAGAAACTTGTGTGTTTCTAGGATATCCTAGCAATCAAAAAGGGTACTTGCTATATAATATTCAAACTCATGTTATATTTACTTCACGACACATTGTTTTCAAGGAGTCTTGGTTTCCTTTTAAAGACATTGCAAGGATCAATCAAGGAGGAGACAGCAATAGCCATAGTAAGATGATTGATACCTTTAGCTATGAGAGTAGACCTTATGAGCCAGTGTCAATGTCTCCATTAGAAGTTAGATAGAATGGCTGCCAGCAAAACACAGAAGACCATGGAGATGAGGTAGATGTAGAGAGCCATCAACAGATTGAAAGGCCAATCAAAGAGAGAAGACCTCTCACATGGATGAAGGACTTTGTATGTATTGTTGACATGCCACATAGATCTCTGATAGGATATGCTTGCACTTGTGGGGTAGAGGAGATGCCCCCAACAGGTAAAAGGAAGGTAAAATATCCTATACATACATTTTTATGCTATTCACATATATCAAGGGATTATAAATGTGTTCTGTCTAGCCTTGATAGTATTGTAGAGCCTTGCAGTTATGATGAGGCCACCAAGGATCCTCGATGGGTTGAAGCCATGAGGGCAGAGATCAAGGGATTAGAAGAAAATGGTACTTGGAAGGTGGTTAATCTACCAAAGGGTAAGAGACCCATAGGTTGTAAACGGGTTTATAAGGTAAAATACAAATATGATGGCAGTATAGATACGTTTAAGGCAAGATCATACCAAGAAGGCATATACTATTTTGAAACTTTCTCTTCTATAATAAAAATGGTAACAGTGCGTATTATCTTGAATATTACTGTTATAAATGGCTGAAATCTTTTTCAAATGAATGTGCATAATTCATTCCTTCAATGGCACTTGAAAGAGGAGGTATATATGCACATCCCTCAAGAATTTGGCAAGTTTAGAGACAACAAAGTCTGTAAACTAACTAAGTCGTTCTATAGCCTTAAGCAAGCCTCTAGACAATTGGATGCTAAGCTTGGTGAGGCCCTTCTTCAAGTTGGTTTTAGGCAAAGCATGTATGATTATTCCCTTTTTATTAGACAAGTTGACTTTGAAATTACACTGATTCTTGTGTATGTTGATGATCTTGTAATTATAGGAAACCAAACTAAAAGGATTGATGAGGTTAAAAGGTTTTCACATGACAAGTTTAAGATCAAGAATTTAGGGCAGCTAAGATACTTGCTAGGTTTAGAAATAGCAAGATCAAAATAGGGAATAGTTTTTAATCAACGAAAATACATATTAGATATATTAACTGACATGGGTTTGACTGCAGCAAAACCATTGACCATTCCTATGGAATAAAACATGAGGTTAAGAGGAAAGCATAAACATGAAAAGGACGATCCATTAATGGGTGATCCAAGCACCTATAGACGGCTAATCGGTAAGTTATCTTACCTCACTGTAACAAGGCCTGACATAAGTTTTGCCATGTAGGCTCTAAGTCAGTTTATGAACTCTCCAATAAGGTCACATTATGCTGCAGCAGTGAGAGTAGTACGATATCAATGATAAGCCTACCAATGGATACAAGCTGATCAAATATATGGTTAGGGATAGGGTTTAAAAGCTTCTTGATCTCCTTCTTCTTATCGGGGTTTTTGATGGTCTCGTTCTTCAGTACAGCCAAAATTTTATTAGCATCACCACTAACCACACTCAGTAGTTGCCCACCCACCTGTTGTTGAATAACACCCGGCATAGCTTCATACACAGCTCTGGTTTCCTTCGTTTTTGTTTGATAAACGCCTTCCTCTGTGGAAGTTAGGATACTTTTTTCTTAAAGCTGGCCTCTCTTGCTCTACAAATTGGGAGGAGGTTCTACAATAGGGTCATGTTCTTTCTCCTTCATCATCTCGCTTCCTCCAGCTTCTTGTCTAGTTCCAGCGGATTGCCCGTATAAGCTCTGTCACTGAAGCTTTTAGGGTCAATCTTGCCCCACAGTGATTCAAGCTTCCCAATGGGCTCGTAAGTATCCCAAGGTCGAGTGTCTATGGTGAGGACTAGATTGGAGGTCATGCGATGATTGCACTGTTTGGATTGAGCGTGTGCCTTGGCGCCACCATCCCGATGCGCCATAAAGAGAAACTCTATAAACTGAGAATCGTTCCTGTCCGAACCCTGACCAAACAAATCCCCAAAGATCCCAAGAATATGGGAGCCTAAATGAGCTTTATTAAAATCTAAAAATATTCGATAAAAATTCTAATTCTAAATATGAAGATTAAAAAAACGAAACATTCTAAAATGTAAATAATAAGATGTCATCTTTAATATTGGGATTCTTATTTGACAATTATACATCTAAAATAATATATATCTTAACGTGAAATAAAATAAGTTATTACTAGTAATAATTTTAAAAAATTATTTGGATAATATGACATATCCAAACCCAAGCACTTAACTAACTCATATATTTAGTATAAAAGGAAAATAAAAGGATTAAAAACACATGGTAGCCATTAAAGGTTTTCAAAATGTCTCATTCTAGTCATTTCATCTTGATCCTCTTGATTTAGGATGGGACAAGATGATTCCAAGACAGGACAAAATGGGTAACAAGACGGGATAGGACACGAGACCGGGTCGTCCCTCGGTATTTTCCTTTTTTAAATAAAAAAAATTGGCTTGTTAAATTACTAATAAATTGTTTTTTTTGTTTTAAGGCCAATCATGAACCTCAAGCCCGCTTTATTTCAAAATGACTCCAAAGCCCACAAGCCCAAATATTGCAAGTAACGCTCCAGCAACTGGCCAATTTCCTGTTTGTGTTTGTCTCTCGATTACCCGTCATTACCAATTCATAGCAACCAAATAATTGCAATTTATATATGAACCATGCAACAAGTTCAAACAATAACTTTGCTTTGTTTTTTTTTCAAGTATTTATATGTTAGCATGGATTGTTGACAATTAGATACAAATTTCGTCTGTTTTCTCCAATTTCTTCTCATAATGTTATCTTCTATAATCTGACAAAATATTTTGGAAAAAAATATAGATTAAATGTAACAGTTAGAAAAGAAAGCAAGATAATTAATATAATTATAGAACCCAAAAATGGTGATATATGTGTTTAGTTTCCTCTGAAGTAATATATGCATATAGATCATAACTGAATGCCCACTTATATAAAAAGTGTCAAGCGACTACTCAAATGGATATGTCTTAGCTTTTAACATAATCCTACTTAATGTTTTGCAAGGAATGCCATATTAAACTTTGAAACTTCTCTATCTCCACTGCTCAATGCTTTTTAATCCTTATTCGTCTTAATCGACGGCCATAGCAAGGCAAATCGGTAATTTTAAAAACATCCTAATTTGATTGGAAAAGAAAAACCTTTAGACTCAGGTTAAAAGTATTCCCAAATGCCAACCCGTAGATTAAAAACCCTTGAGCGTTAAGACAGGTACTTTATTATTATTAGTAATATATTTTTTTTATTCTTATATAAAATAACGAATATTATCATTATCAATAAAATTATTTATATTTGTAGTTTTCTTATTCCAGATATTCTTACTAACACTTGCTTTCACTGTTCATATGGGGGTTAAATTGTCCAAATAAAAAAATTAACACTCACTTTGACTACTATCATGATTTATTATAAATTACATATTATATAGGGACAATATTGATTAGCACCAGTTTCCTGAAAAAGTAAAGAGCACCTTTAATTGCTACAGAAGTTTATGACGTGTTACATAGGGAGCCGGTTTACATTCCTCCATCCTCCTTATTAGAGCAGGGGCCTAAACCTGAGAATGTCGTATAGCCCGTTCTTTCCCCAGTCGGATCCATACAAGGATAAAATGAATTGCTCGTCCTCAGCCGGGAAACGAGAAGCGCGGGAAAAATGCCATAGATAGGTCCACCCACCCTCCCGGTTTCAGGAGATAGACGCAACGAAAATAGCAATTTATTGAACTTTCTTGCAAAATAAATCGAACTTACAGAGAGAACATAAATAAACGACTAAAAGTCAATGGGAAGCAAATGCGCAAATATATAACTACCAGTCATCCAGATGTGTATTTTAAGTGGCATCTACAAATATTAGCATGATAAGTTCTCACGCAAGTCAAAAGAAAGAACCGCCAATTGTACGCGGTAGATTTACCAAGAAAATTCTGAAGTAGACCAACTACTGAACCACAAGTCAGGCCAAAAAACAGAGAACTACTACAAGAATAGCACCCTCTCTGTCACTAACCTTCATCAGCAGCTTCCTTGACATCAACGGTGAAGTTATATTCCTGATCACAGCCCATGTAAGAGTCACACATCAAGTAAATAGTGTAGGATTTCTTTCCAGCTTCAGAGGGAGCAGCAAAATCCAGTTTTGCTTTCAACTTCCGTTGAAGGGAAACCCTTTTAATAGCAAGCAACAAGTTATTCTTAGTATCACCAACAACAAGCCACCATCCCTCCTCCTTCGCTTTGGGATACCTGGGAGCATCAACAGGTCCTACTTCAGTCCTCCCCTCAAGATCACGTTCAAGAGTCACTAGGACTGTTACATCCTCCCCAGCCCGCACAGAGTCACTTTCCAGTACCTCGTATGACATATCGATGTTAGGGAAACGATTGCAAAACTGTGCAATATCTGACAGCTGCGATTCAGACATCTGCAATAGTTCACACCTCTCGTCATCCTCCATCTCCACTAAATCAAACACCGATTCAATTTTCTTAGGGTGCTCCAGGCATCTCTTAGCAAGCTCCTTTGTGAAGTGAGGAAGCTGTAGAAGCATGGAATCAGTATTCCACAGTCCCTGTGTCACCATTTGACTAACTTCCATAGTAAGAAGAGCCAGGCTCAGCCATCCATTGCTTGAGATCACATCAACCATTGCTTGGAGCAGCCTATTTGCAGAAAGAAGCACTTCACGCTGGTCCAATGCAAGGTTCCCACCTATAGGCTGCCTGGAGAAGTGGGCCTGAAGCAAAGCATTGGCTTTGATGTGGGGGTCGGTAACTTTAGGGTTGTCAAAAGAAAACCTCTGGTGATTAATCAACCTACGAACCACCTCTTCCTCCCCAGGTCGTATTGGAATCTGAGCATACTCTGAGGCAGAGGATAAAACCTCCAACAGGCCTTTCATCCTCGTTTTAGATGTCAGAGAAGAAGAAAACCGTTCAATAGTTGTGTAACTGATGTAATAATATGATGCTATCATCCCAAGATTGAGGGGAGAAAGGTCCATGTCATCCTCAATTGCAACACATTTGCTCGCTTCTAAGTCACTCAATGTATTTTCCACAAGCTCTGAGAGGTGATCAGAAAGATGCCTGTGACTAACTCCTTGTAGATTGTAATAGTTGGGATTTTGCGTCAGCCTCCTGTACATAAAAGTCCATGTAAGATAATCAACAGCATCTTGCTTGTTCTCAATAATTCCAGCAACTATTTCAGCATTCAAGTTATCATGCAAGAAGTGATGCAGATGGCTTTCAACAGGGAATGCTTCATACAAGAACTTCTTGTAGTACTCCTTTCGAGGTGCATGACACAGTATGACACATTTTCCTGAGTTGTCAATCAGAGGCCTACTGGCATGACCCATCATTTGCAGAAGATCAGTGACAGGGTAATCTGACTGTGCATTTTCCCGTCCATCATAGAATTGTGTACCCATCACGACTACCAAATGGGCTGATAATGTCACTCCCCAACACAATGAGCTGCTCAAAACACAGACCTGAATCCACCCAGCTTCAAATAGCTGCGTTACAACTTCACGATCAATGTTGCTTAAGCCCTCATGCAAGTATCCCACTCCTTGCCGTAAAGTGACTTTCAACATCTCATCTTTAATCCCATCAAGGAAAGGTTCAAGCTCCACTGGAGCCCGCAATAAGAAGGGCTTCTCTCCACTGTCTGCATTAGAGTATGTCATCAGATCCACAGCTGTAAGACGCACATGCTTCCTTGTAGGTACAAAAACAAGAGCAGGTTTCCCATTCTTGGCATGTTGAACAATTGCAGTATAAGTCGGTTTGGTCATTGCCTGCATCCTTGCCTCAAAATTAGCAATATCTATCCCCTGAATATGTATTTCCAAAGGCACAGGACGAACACCAGGGGGGAAATTAAAAAGACCATGAGATGTAGCTCCAATCCATTCTCCCAGATCCTTTGCATTTGCAAGAGACGTAGACAAAGCAACAATACGGATCTTGTTTTCAACTTGACTGGCAATATATCTCATCCTGGAGACAATCACCTCCAAAATAGGACCTCCCTGACCCCCAATTAAGTGGAGCTCATCGATTATGAAGAGACTAACTTGCTGAATATGTTTCCGTTGTTTCCAGCGGCGGGACAAAGCATCCCATTTCTCTGGGGTACTGATGATAATATGACCTTTCTCAAGAAGTTTCAAGTCAGTTGCTGTTTCTCCTGTCAACTCAACCACCCGCAAATTAAGACCATCTTTAAATTTCCTCACCCAATCACGACAGCGCTCCTTTGCAAGAGCTTCAATTGGTGCAATATAAACAACACGCATGACGCTATCCGGTCCCTTTTGAAGATTTCTCAAAATAGCAAATTCAGCACATATAGTCTTTCCACTCCCTGTTGGAGCAGCAACTAGGACATTGTCATCAGAATTATACAGAACTGTGAATACTTGTGTCTGGACAGGATTAAAATGCTTAAAATCCTGATAGATAGCTTCATATGATGAATTTCGCAAGGCAGAAACTGGCAGCGGCTGCAGATCCAATAACTCAGTTGGTGGCGGATACTTTTCAGGCAAGATGAGGTGCCTGAAAGAAACAGGCAAAACGGTTTGCGAACCAAGCCATCTATCAGAGACAACACGAATAAAGTATTGAGGTGGAAGTGGTTCATAAATTGGCACTGTGAAATTGAGTGTGTGGTCCTCATCAATATACTGTTTCTTTAGCATAAAATACTCATGATGAAGAATATATTCCCCATCGTTATCCTCCACAATCACCCAGAATGGCTCAACATATCCATGAATTCGGTCCTCCCACATAAAATCTGGAGTTATCATGAGCTCAACCCTCAAAACTGTGCGTGTAATTGGCTGAACATGTGCTGCAAGATTCAATTTTGGAAACTGATGGATAAATTTATGAAGAGTCCTTCCCATCTTTGGTGCTCGAATGAGCTCACCAATTTCCTGTGATGACAGGTCATAATACCTTTCCCAAGATAAATCTTTCTTCTCCAACTTCATCAATATATCATTGGGGATTCCATTAAATTGACGAAGAGGTGTTTGAACACTCCACATCCTCTTGTTTACCATCTTGCACAAGTTTAAAGCCTTCTCAGCTAGCTGTGCCCAACCTCGTTTCAAGACAATCTCAAAAAGTGCTCTCATAAGCCGGCCGGCACTCTGAAAGAAAGAACAAAACACAGATGAATTAACGAACATACATGCATGATGGCCAATACACAAAGGACAAGATGATTAAGTTAATCCACTGAGAGAGTTAGAGATACGCTGCATCAACCCTCAATTTCAAATTTTTAACTAAATGTTAAGGGAACAAAGTTTCACCTGAGTTATAAAAACCATATCAGATGTCAGAGAGAGCCCTTCAAGCTTTAACTGGGAAATGTATGCTTGCAGCAAAACATTAATCTTAGCACTAGGCTCTTCCAGGCTTTCCTTGATGGGAATGGGAACACGATCCAACAGTTTTGCCAGTTCCATCTTCTCATCCTGCCTAACAGTTACATATTTAAATTCTTCACTCAGCGAAAACAATCGGCAAAGCTCTATATCACCCATTGTAGGTTTCAAATGCTCATTATATGTGGATATTGTTCCATGAGTTATATAATAATAACTTGCAATGCGCCCCAAGTCTGTGACCTGGAAATATCCACTTTTCCTGTCATACTTGACCAAATTATTTTTATCCAAGATGGTTGCAGCTGAATGAATCTGCAGAAATTCAATAAGATAGATCACTATCAGCCGCAATGAGGATGAAAAACGACTTTATGAGCATTATTAGCATGCACCATGCGTATGTACTTTTTTTTTTTGGGGGGGGGGGGGGGGAGGTGGTGAGGACTAGTTATTGAAATCACACAATTTGAATCACAGGATTTGTGTGATTTCCAATAAAGACAGCACTCATGATATCTGGAAAGTATCCAAGCCGTGACTGACCTGGGCCATGCACAGCCCACTTGAGGAAATATTTCTCCTGACTTCTAATTATTTAATCTACCGTCCATAGTAGGCAGAGTACACCATTTTTAGCATAGGGAGATCTTCACGTATCTCATTTTGAAACCAAAAACTTCTAACATCTCACATCTCACATCAATTTCTAGAAAACTTAAGACTTAGCAGAACATGATAGTAGGTCATATGATATCATCGAACATGCACGTTAAGCATGCACCACGACTTTGAAATATAATATTAGATTATATTTAGTCCTGGAAAAAATGAATTCAAGCAATTTGAGTGCCCGCAATTTTAAACAACTTATCATTTTATTCTCAGTTACTGGCATTGCTATTGCACTAAAACAACCCAAAAAATTGCAGACAAATTTGTCTTATCCAAATAATAATGAGCACTGATAAGCAAAGAGTACGGAAGAACTTACCAGATCAGCCCTCCTTTCCTCCAGTGTTATATCTCTTGTGAGAATATCAGGAGCCAAACCATAGAGTGAAGGATTTCGGATCATACGTACATACAAATAAGTGTATCCAATCCAATTACATGCTTCTCTAGCATTTTGAACAGTGCCAAGAACAATTTCTGCATTCAACTGATCAGCCAACTTAGACACAAACTGGCTTTCAATAGGGAGTTGCTGGTTCATGAGGGATAGATAATATTGCAATTCACTGTGGCCAGTGATGATTATTCCCTCTCCATATGAGTCATACTGGGGCCTCCCAGCACGACCCAGCATCTGCATCACATCAAGAGGACTGAGTTCAGTCCAGGCGCCCTTTTCTGGATTGTAGATCTGTGTCCCTTTAATAATCACCGAATGGGCAGGGAGATTCACACCCCACGCAAGAGTTGCAGTAGAAACTAGAACTTGTACGTGTCCATCAGCAAAGAGATCCTCAACCAGCTGGCGGTCAGTCCTAGTCATACCAGCATGATGAATTGCAAATCCATATGGAAGAAGATCTTTAAGATCATTGCTCTTCACAAGATCAGTATGAGTATGGAGAATCTCCCGGCTAGCACTATCTTCTTTAAGAAACCTACCAAGCGTATCATTTGCAAGCGCAGTATCCCGGATAGCACGAGCTGTCTTGGCAGTTTCTTTCCTTGAATGGACAAATATGAGAACCTGATGCTTTCCGGCTACAGCCATTACTTTCTCATAACAGATATCATTCATCAACTGGAATCTCTGAAGAGGCTTCTTTACTGTAATTCCAATGTATTGTTGAGAAAGCGGGACAGGTCTATAACTGTTATCAAAATAGAACAACCCTTTCTTGAGGTCAACACGTAAAAACAAAGCCACATCTTCATAGTTGGGAAGAGTAGCAGACAATCCCACCAGTCGAATATGTTCCTTTGTTGTTTCAATCTGCCTTACAGTTCTAGCAACAATACTTTCAAGAACAGGTCCTCGATTATCATGAAGAAGATGAATTTCATCAATGATAAGAAGTTTTACAAGTTGCGTGTATGTGCGATCACCAGACTTTCGGGTAATTATATCCCACTTCTCTGGGGTTGTGACAATAATTTGGGTTTCTTCTATCTGTTGGCGGGTCAATGTCTGGTCTCCACTGAGCTCTCTAACTTTGACATCATAATCCTGCAAACGATTAGACAAATTTCCAACCACTTCTGCAACAAGGGCTTTCATAGGTGCGACATAGACAATTTTATAATCATTATGGTTAAATGAACCATCAGAATTTCTGTGCAGTGCAATCTGCTGAAGTATAGTGAGAACAGCAACATTAGTCTTCCCAGCCCCTGTTGGAGCGCAGAGAAGAATATTGTCTGGATTAAAGAGGGCAGTCTCATAAACCTTACTCTGCACCCTGTTCAACTGGGTCATTCCTTTAAATGCTGGTTGTGCCCAATCAGGCATGGCAGATATCTTAATAAATTTCTCATTAGAGTCAATTGGCTTAGCCTTCAATGCTGGTACATGAATTTCTTCATATCCCTTGCTGAGATGCCTATAAGACCCGTCTGGAAGGTCACACTTCTTTTTTGCCATAAAAAAACCACCTTGATCAAAAGCAAGGCTATCCAGGTCAAGCAGTTGGCGCTGACCTTTTAACCAGCCACTCTCAGCATCCCTATCAGCAAGCCCCCTCCTCCCTATGTCCCCATCTCCAGTGATCTCATCCTTTAATCGGCGTGCTTCTTCTCTTATACTTTTTTCCAAGTTCTTTTGCCTCTCCTTTGCAGTCGCCCTTGTAGCATGCAACTGCTCCACTATTGAGGCCAACTCAGGACCTAATCCCATCATTTCCTCCTCAATTTTCTTCCTCTCATCTTGGTCTTCTGCCCTCGCCAAACGAGTACACCACACAATCTTCAGCCGGTTGCGCAGTAGGAACTTGACAAGGCTGAATTTGTCAAACTGAAGATGGACTAACAGCTTAGTTTCCACTTCCCTATCATCACCTTCAGCCAGTATCTTAAGCACCTCTTCTGCAAGTTTCTGGCATTGCTGCGGATCAATCTGCTGCTCAAAAGCTTGAGATATTTTTCTTTGAAGCCAATAAGCATCAATGTCCTGAACATTGAGACTCATCCCCTCATTTGCTTCCTGCATATCATCATCGTCTATACCGCCACCCATTTGCATAGCCCCGGCCCCATTTGGTTCCACAACATCATCATCATCCTCTTCCTCCTCTTGCACCATATCAAGATCACTCTCCTCCTCCTCTTCCTCATTCTCCTCAAACTCAACCGCAACACCCACATCATCATCTAGGGCATCGTCACCATTAGCTGTAGCAGACCCGGGAGCATCACCTCCCTCTTGATAATCGGTGATGAGCCTACCAATGGATACAAGCTGATCAAATATAGGGTTGGGGATAGGGTTCAGCAGCTTCTCGATCTCCTTCTTCTTATCGGGGTTTTTAATGGTCTCGTTCTTCAGTACACCCAAAATTTCATCAGCAGCACCACTAACTATACTCAGTGGCTGCCCACCCAACTGTTGTTGAATGACACTAAGCATAGCCTCATACGCAGCTCTAGTTTCCTTCGTTTTCGGTTGGTAAACGCCTTCCTCTGTGGAAGTCAGGACACTTTCTTCTTGAAGTCGGCGTCTCTTGCTCTGCAAATTGGGAGGAGGTTCTGCAAGAGGGTCGCGTTCTTTCTTCTTTTTCTTCGCTTTCTCCAACTTCTCGTCTAGTTCCGGCGGCCTGCCCCTATAAGCTCTGTCACCGAAGCTTTTAGGGTCAATCTTGCCCCATAACGATTCGGGCTCCCCAGTGGGTTCATGAGTGTCCCGTGGTCGAGAGTCCGTGGTGAGGACTAGACTCGAGTTCGCCCTATATTCATACTGCTTGAATCGAGCGTGTGCCTCGGCACCACCACCCAGATGCGCCATGTTTTGATATCGAAGAGAAACTCAGAAGACCTTCAAGCCTTTGCTTACCACTGCATCTCGAAGAAAAGAAAACCTAATTCAAAATTCTCACATGAGTTAGATTATAATCGAATCCGCCAGAACGATGAGGAATGAAAAAGAATCCGCCAGAACCCAAAACCCTAAGATAAGCACAAAACGGGATGATAAAAAATTACTATTTACTTACCAATGAATATAAGTAATAAAAATATCGCTGAGGAGAGACCCAACGTTAAAGACCCTCTAAAATGCGCCCAGAGAAGGACGAAGAAATAATGAGCTAGTGGCTAACGCTCGCAACCATATAAGTTTCAAGTTTGCACCGCCTTCCTCCGACTTTACTGTACACTCGCCAGCGTCGACGCCCCTGAACCCTAGAGTCGGTTCGGGCACACGTGGGATTGGAAGATTGAAGGAAAAAACATGTATATACGCAATATATGGGATCAGCTTACTCTCACGCTGCTCTGGTAATATTTACATGTAAGTTCCCATATATTTCACGTTAAAAAAAAAAAAAAAACTTTAAACAGTATTAATTTTTAAAAAATATAATAATTTTTAAATTTTATTAATATTTAATATATGCATTTTTTAAGAATGATCACCTCTCCTATGATAAATAAAAGACAAAACAATATATTTATATTAAAAATTTGATGAGGTAACTTACAAATAGGGAAAAAATTCTATTTTTATTTTATAAATAAAATCAAAAGAGTGAATGATAATCCTATCATCTTAAGATAAGAAAAAAAATAAATGGTAAATTTTAACTTCATAATCTGATCATTTAAAAAATTCTCTTTTTCTCAAATCAGCACAGTATTTGAGAAAAAAAAAAACCAGACTTTTCAGGACATAGGTGATAATAGAAGAAGAGTTGTGCTAATTTGGTCCTTTCCCATGATTTCCCAGTTTTTATTTTTAAATTTTTAAATATTATAATACTCCTCCGGTCCTAATTATAAGACCCAATTGACTTATTTGAGGAGATTAAGGAAGTAAGTTAAGTTGGTTATTTATAATAAATAAGTATTGTTATTCCTAAAATATCCTTGCTAATTAAGTATATTGGCTAAAACTATCATTATTAGAAGGATTATCTTGAAAAAAATGCATAAATATAAGAGAAAAAATAGATTGGGTCTTATAATTAGGACCAAATAAAAAGTTAAATTGGGTCTTATAATAAGGACCGGAGGAGTACATATTTTCGTATTCTACCTAATTACTTTTCCTGACCTATCATGATAAATTTCTAAAGTAATAATCGGAAATTTAAATTTTTCATGCCAAATGTTCTCGAACCTTACTGAGTGTATGAATGGAAAATCGGGAGAATAAAACAGGGGCCATAAATAATCGACCAAATTCTCTTACCGGGCCACCCCATTTAACCTATCCCATGAATAATAATAAAAGATTGAACATGGGATTTCTAGTGACCGCCTCATAAAATTCCTTTTTTAGAGATGTTATTGCAATATCCACTTCTCCCTAGTCTTTTTCTCCTTCCTTCCTCTGACCCATACCTCATCTCTCCTCTGTTTCCCCACCTCCATGCTCCATCTCCAATCCAGCACTCAAGAAGTGAGCAACCCGATACACTGGTATTATCTCAGTCCTTAATCCAATTTTATTTTCCCTTATTTGTTTTCAAATGTTCTTTCTACTCATTCTAATGGAGATTTCATTCTTCTGTTTCCTTCATGCTTGCAGATCGATATCTAATCTAATTCGGATTTAGCTGAAGTCGGAGAGGCTGCTTATTGATAATCACCATCGACGAACAAGTATCCCAAGTGTTTGACTCTCGCCGTAATGGTATTTCTTATCTTGTCGTATTAGATTTGACCTCCCACCCTCTCTGCATCCAGTGTTTCCGATTCATTTTCATGCTAAAATGTTAATCTTTTATGGTTCCGATTCAGGTGAGCCCAATAGGTAACTTTGAGAAGAACGATATGGTGCCTTCGTGGTTGAAACCAATGCTTAGAGCAGACTACTTCGTTCCCTGTTCAATCCATGGCGATTCGAACAAGAGCGAGTGCAACATGTTCTGTTTGGATTGTATGGGAAACGCCCTCTGTTCTTACTGTCTGATTCATCACCGAGATCACCGTGTCGTGCAGGTTTGGCTTAGACCTAGCTCAAGCAATTATTAGTGTTTTTTTTTTTTTTTTAATCAGAAGGGTTTGAACCTGGACCTATTTTGTTTCTCTGTATGTTTTGAATCACTGAAAATTAATGATGATTGTTGGAATAACCGACCTATGCGTGTAGATAAGGAGGTCCTCCTACCATAACGTGGTGAGGGTGAACGAGATTCAGAAGTACATAGACATTTCGTGTGTCCAAACTTACATTATCAACAGCGCCAAGATCGTATTTCTCAATGAGAGGCCACAGCCAAGGCCTGGAAAGGGGGTCACTAATACTTGCGAGATTTGTGGAAGAAGCCTCCTCGACTCTTTCAGATTTTGTTCCTTGGGTTGTAAGGTGATTCTTCTTTTAATCCCAATTGTTTCCTTGCTTGCTAAAATCAGATGAAATATGTGTGTGTGATTCTTGGTGTGGCAGCTCGGAGCAATGAAGCAGGGTCGCTCAGAACTCACATTTGCGCTGAGGGACAAGAACAGGGACATATTGGAGTCGGATGAATCTTCAACTCCTAAGAAGATTCGAAGAAATCATGTTTTCAGCCGCTTGATCACGGATGATCCAACCATTTTTTACAACCATGGCAAGGACAGGTACTCAGCTTCTGAAGAAGACGAAGGCAATGGTAGCATCTCTCCGGCCACACCTCCTATTTATAACCATCGTAATGCCAGGAGAAGAAAAGGCATACCCCACAGGGCCCCATTCTAAATAAAACCAAACAGAAACTAGAAGATGATGATGACGACGGCGATGATGAATGTGGATAGGTATAGTGTTCTGTTTCATATGCTGTTAGATAGGTTAGTGCCCAGAAGAATCATCATCAATAATCAATAATCAATAATCTGTGTTGTCTTAAAGAAATAGGAATGGGATAATACAGATTCAGGGAAAATAGATAAGATTACAGCAGTGTCCTAGTTTCTTGTATATATGCTAGAAACATGGTTTTGTTAAATCCGATCATTGTACAGGGGACAGCATACTTAGTTCTCAAAATTAGCAATGTGGGAAGAAGTAGCATTTCTGTTGTAAAATTACAGGTTAATTAATGAACATATATTGTTTGTGTACTTAAGGTGTTTGAAACTGAAGTGCCTTTTTATCAGAACAGTAATGGGTTTTTGCTTGAGCTAATCGGGCATATAGTCTTGCTCTTCCTTTTTGAACGTCGTGCGGGAAGCATCAACCATAACGAGAATCTTTCCGTTCCACGAAAAGGGATCGGATTCACTTTTTACATGTTTGTTTAAAACGTTTAGATTCTGATCAGTGTTCCCCAAAAAATATTCGGGAGACTATCCATCCTCCGTCGAGATATCTTATATCCCCAGCATAATTCCGCAAAAAATTAATAAAAATAAAAATAGAAGCCTCATGAGATATTCAATTTAGATTTTTTTTTTTGAACTTTTGGGTATGGGTTGTTATGTGATAACTGAGAATTTAAAAAAAAAAAATCAAAGGGATGTTTAGGAAGTGGAAGGAAAAAATAAATGGATGACGGAGGAAAGAGGGGGGGTGGTGGGGATGAGCCCAGATAAGAACACACGTCAACGCAATGGAAAGGGTAGACGACAAAGGAGAGGTTGTTGTCGTAATAATCGTTTTCATCTTTTTGTGTGTATGAAAAAGTTTGTTAATTGCTTATAAATACGCATAATAATATTTAAATAAACAAGTGGATTATGATCGATAAGAGCCGTAAAGAATCTGAAACATGCTGTGTGTGACTCCACTCTCTATCTCTTCGATCGGTCTATCTTAGCCCTGCTTTATCACCCCACTTAGCCATATCGTAGCCTAGAGGGTTTTCTCTCTGTTTTTCCTTTCAAAATAAAAAAATTTAGTTAAACTTGACAAGCTCTTCAAAACTGAGACGGATCATAAGATTTAAATAGCATTTTATAGATTCCGGTAAAAAAAAAATTAATGGCACTTATAAAAATACTTACGGATTAGTTATTGATGAGATATTTCATGTTGAGAATATTTGAACCAGCATCTTTATCAAGTTAAAATGTGGATTATATTCTTATTAATTGCATATCATTATTTGGTTGACGTGAGAGATTTTATTTGCGTGCAAGTTTGATTTGATCACTGTCCACTATTCCATACTGTTTATTCTTGACCCAACGTCCCTTCTCTCTCATTTGTGTTGTCATGTCTTCTTCGCTTTCTTTTCATCCTCCTCGACCAGGTATATATTGACAGTCTTTTATATTGTGCGTGTGAAAATTAAAATTAATAAGTATTTCCATTGAATAATATCATGCATTTTATATTTATTTATTCTAAGAATCTAAATAATCACATTAACAATTTATTCCAATGCCATATCATTTATGCTAGATCAATGAAAATAATCTAAATATAACCAAGAAGGACGTCAAAAATAATTATTATATATTATCATAAAATAAATGAGTGGGTAGAAAAGCAGAGAACTTACCGGGAATGGATTCAAGTCGGGTTCATATGCTCTAAGGTTACCAGTACACGAAAGACAAGGGCTTTTTTACCAATATACGATAAACAGTAAAATTATTTACTAAAATGCTGCACTTTTAAAACTATTTATCAATATACTGCACTTAAAATCGTTTTTAGCAAGAACGATTTTAAAATTACACACAAGTCGTTATTGGCGTGAACGATTTCTGAAATCGTTCATGTCAAGAACGATTTTACTTTTTCCTGTTACTCTCTTACATACAGATCTCTGCCAATTTTACTTGCAAAAATAAGAATCCTTAACAATGCTCCCATGAGGCTACAGCATCTATATTGCATTAAAATTTGAAAATCTCAATTTTTTTAATTTTTTAAATAGAGCTTGATGAAATTTTTTGTCATTTCCTCTTCTTTTTATTTTTCTCATACCAAATAATACGTAACAAAAAAAATTATGCTTTGATTGTAAAATTTTAATTGTAGCAATTAAGCTGTAGAACTAAATTATTATTATTATTATTATTTCGGCCACAGGCACAAAAGGTCCATGTCCAATACTTGATTTCTCTTCAAATCGAACAAATGCCACACGACAGGCTTTTTTTACCAAAATACTACAAAGAGTAAAATTATATACTAATATGCTGTACTTTTAAAAGTATTTACTAATATACTACACTTAAAATCGTTCTTTAGGTAAATAATTTTTAAAGTCATTTATCTGCTGAACAATTTCTTCATAATCTATCCTTGATGTGCATGAAAGCTTGTGTGGCATTTATCTGCACTTAAAATCGTTCTTGGTAAGAACGACTTTCAAATTACACACAAGTCGTTCTTGGCGTGAACGATTTTAGAAATCGTTCTTGACGTAAACATTTGTTAAATGAATAAGTCGTTCAGCAGATAAATAATTTTAAAAATTATTCACCTGAAGAACGATTTTAAGTGTAGCATATTAATAAACACTTTTAAAAGTGCAGCATATTAGCATATAATTTTACTCTTTGTAATATTTTGGTAAAAAAGCCAGTTGTGTGGCATTTGTTCGGTTTGATGAGAAATCAAGTATTGGGCATGGACCTTTTATGTCTATGACCAAAATAATAATAATAATAATTTAGTCTTACAACTTAATTGCTACAATTAAAAATTTACAATCAAAGCATAATTTTTTTTGTTACGTATTGTTTGGTATAAGAAAAATAAAAAGAAGAGGAAATGACATAAAATTTCATCAAGCTCTATTTAAAAAATTTTAAAAATTGGAATTTTCAAATTTTAATCCAGATGTTGTAGTCTCATGGGAGCATTGTCAAGGATTCTTATTTTGCATGTAAATTGACAGAGATTCGTATGTGAGAGAGTGAACAGGAAAAAGTAAAATCGTTCTTGACGTGAATGATTTCAGAAATCATTCACGCCAAGAACCACTTATGTGTAATTTTTAAAATCGTTCTTGTCAAGAACGATTTTAAATGCAGCATATTGGTAAATAGTTTTTAAAATGCAGTATTTTGATATATAGTTTTACTATTTATTGTATATAGATAAAAAAGCCAAAGACAAGGGATGTAACTAGTGGGCGTATATATTTTGGCAAGGCAAAATATTCATATCTTATTCTTTTAACCCCTCATTTACCTCAATTAATGAGATAGAATATGTGATTTTAATTTATATAAGAAATTAAATCAGATAAATGTATAGTCTTGTCGAATATCCAAGACAGATGTACGCTTATAATCTAGGTTTATAAATAATCTGAGCCTTAAGAAATCCTCTGATTGGAGGGTGCAAAGGCAAAAGCAAGGGAGAGGAGAGAGAGAGAGAGAGACAAGGATGGAATAAATTTTGTTGGGCGGCGTTTTTTGTAAGTAAGTACAAAGAGGAGGCCAGAGCCTAGAAAGACCGTTTGGACTTTGGAGGAAGGACGGCGGAGTGTGGACACGTGCTCCCTTCGGGGTCCCAGCCTCCCAGGCGCGGGAGCATCCGTTAGTCCGTAGCTTCACCCGCTCTCATCATCAAAACGATTACTATTACTACTACTTTAGAGTATTTATCAGGAAAAAATTAGAACGAGGAATGTAAATGAAATAATTTTCTTAAAAAATACTCTTCCGGTCCTTATTATAAGACCCAATTTGACTTTTTATTTGGTCCTAATTATAAGACCCAATCCATTTTGTCTCTTATATTTATGCATTTTTTTCCAAGATAATCCTTCTAATAATGATAGTTTTAGCCAATATACTTAATTAGCAAGGATATTTTAGGAATGACAACACTTATTTATTATAAATAACCAACTTAACTTACTTCCTTAATCTCCTCAAATAAGTCAATTGGGTCTTATAATTAGGACCGGAGGAGTATCATATTCTCTGATAATTTCAACATTATATATATACACTTTTATTTTTAGATTGAAATTTAGATTTGGTCTTTTAATTTTGATATTAAATACTAAAATATTCTCAAATACTAACATATTAAATTTATTTTTTAAAATAATCATAATTGTTATAAAAGAATATCATTTTAAATTAATAATTTTAGGATTAAAGAACTACGAACATACTCTTGGAAGCTATGAGACCAAATTATAATTTCATGTAAAATTAAAATACTAAAATTATACTTTAGTCCTATTTTTAAGATAAAAAGCTTCATTTTGGCTCTCGGGACGTGATGAAGTTAACCTTGGGAACAGTATCCATTACGTGGGTGAGGGCCTTTTAATATGCCGATCGTAAATATTAATGAATGCAAATACATTATCAACTTATAGAGTAATAATTAATTCGTCATACTGATGTATATTAGTACTTTAATTTAATTAGGCCTGACTTTGCATGCTATAAAATTTGATTAGTTTTTCGGCTTATTTTTATTTATTCAAACAGATAAATTCGTATTTTCATTTTTCTGCGGCTCTATGCATAGCTGCCCCCTCATTTGCCACGCGCAGGCAGCACACTCCCCTGCCCCCGGCCACGCCCCATCTAGAAACTCAATGCACGTGACACTTCAATGACCAATCCTCATTATTATAAATACTGCCCCTGACCACGAAATAATGATTTATCATTATTCTCTTAATCTATTTTCTTGCTAACATTTAAAATTCTAAACCACATAGTGCTTACAATTTCACAACGAGAAAAAAATGTTAATCAGTTATCATCTATTGCGGAATACTGATCCGATCCTAAATATAAGACCCTTATATACACTAATATAAAGATATTTTATTTAGGACTAGAAGAGTTTTATTTTTCCCGAAGTTTAATATAGGATAACAATTTTAGCTAAGAATATATTTTTAAGGACAAAGTTGTCAAGACAGTTTTTTTTTTTTAAAAAAAAAAATACAGCCAGTGTTATATATCACCGAACACTAGGCAGCGTTATTTCATATGTATAATATCATACATGACGCCACTTATTCACACCAAAAATAGTATGAATATTAATGAAACCTATTAACTTAGCAAAGGCGACCATGTTCTTTTGGGTTATAAAATGACACAAGTCAGGGTCATCCAAGAATAACACACTATCTGCATAAGGTAACCATCCTCTAACATCTCCGTCAACTTTTCTAGCTAACAACAAGGCTGTGCTAACTTATTTTCAATAACTCTGCGTTACATAAAATAAATACCTGAAAAACTTACTCATCTGATTCTTAATATAAGATCTATTTAATTAATTTGATTAGATTAAGAAAGTTAGATACGTTAGTTAATTATAAGAAATATGAAATATTTTTTCTAAAACACCATAATCATCTTTCTTAATATTTTTTTTCTTCACTTAGTTGATTATGGTTGATGAAGTATTTATAGAGGTAATTTAGAAAAATTAATAAATATAAAAAATAAATTTTATATTTAGAACTAAAATAAATTTAATAATTATATTTTTTATTAAGTATCGGAGAAGTATTTTATAAGATGCAAAAGCATTTTTCCCATGGTTTGCAATTTTTTTTTTTAAATATACAAACAAATGGCTGAGAAGCGTTTACGTGAATCCTGGAAGAAAAAAATCACTTAATAAATGGATTGCTTGGATGCGTCCTCTCTCTCCTCACGTGGCTTCCATTCCAGGCAGGACCCAAATCCTACAGGTCTCAGGCTCGAATCGAATTTAGAACTATGCCGATGCAGGCCTCCCCATTGTGTTTTGCAGCCAAGGTTCCGCTTCGCGTTAAGTCGCAGCATACAAATCCGACCAAGTTCAAAGATCTCAGCTCCATGGCTGAGGCTGCTGCTCCGAAGTGGGCTCAGAAAACTATTACTTTGACTCCTCACAAACGCGGTTGTCATCTCATCACTTCTAAGGTGAGCTAATTATCAATTCCATTGAATCGCCTTTCTGAAAACCCTACTTATTCGTCTTCTAATTTGTCTACGCTCTTACTTCCGACGCTGATGTCATAGATACATTTTTCACTGGCCTTTTTTCTCGCTTAATAGATTTACCGAGAATCACGTCCCTGTAGCAATAAACTAAACCGTGCTTCATCACAGGGGAATCAATAATACTGGACCTTTTTGTGACGATAACTAGAACTCAGATATCGTATTCTTGCTATCATCGCAAAAAAAAAAAAAAAAAGGCATTTGCAGCATCTGATCGTTCTGTCAATTTTATACTTGTTTCGACGTTCCGGTTTAATTACTGTCTTGTTAACATCATCAATTTATTATTCTGTTGCTGTCGATGGGATTATTAACCTGCCTCACTGTATGAGTTCGTTGTCTTGTGACTTCTATCTATGCTTTTACATCTTGACCTTATGCAGGTTTGGTCCTTCATTAAACATATAATCATTGGTTACTTTATTGTGACAGATTGTAAAAGAAATTGAGCAGGACTTGTCTGGATTCAAGTGTGGCCTAGCACATCTCTTCTGTACGTATATATACGATTTGTTTCTCTCCATTGTGTGTTTTATATGGTTTGCACAGACTGATCTTTTAGTTTTAATGAGGAATGCAGTGCAACACACTAGTGCTTCTCTTACCATCAATGAGAATTATGACTCTGATGTTCGTGATGATACAGAAAGGTTTCTCAATATTGTAGTTCCTGAGGTTGGTTTGTCTCCTGCTTCTATTGCAATATAACAATATATATTCTCTTGTAGAACATGACACGTATTTCTATATCTCATGTAGGGGCCATCTGCACCTTGGAAGCATACTTTAGAGGGTTAGTATTGATTTTTAATTTACCATTACGTTCAAATTTTTGAAGCTGCTTTTACACCGCATTCTAATTGCATGCTAATGAAATAATGGTGAACTGAATTCACAAACGGCGACATTGTGAATCCATATAATTTTTGCGTCAATCTTCTTTAACCTTGAAATTTTGCAGGCCCAGATGACATGCCAGCACATATCAAATCATCAATGTTTGGTTCCACACTCACGTGAGAAATACTCCTTGTTCAAATTAATTAATTCTGAAAAACTATCACTGTGATATCGTTTACTGATATTTTTGTATTTTCAGGATACCAATTACAAATGGAAAGCTAAACATGGGGACATGGCAGGTAACCGAAATGATTTTGCAATGATTTATCCAAAAATTTTCTTGGTTAAGATGAAACTTATGGAGTTTTATCTCAACTGTCGTTGGATTTCACTACTTAAAAGTGCAGGGTGCACTTTATAATAAAATGCTCCTGGATGACCACTGATTTTTCATTAACAGTTAGAACTTCTATGGACCTTGAATTGTTGTTCAAGCTTGACGGTCTATAGTAACACCGAGTTGCTGGGTTAAATCTTTTTTTTTTTTTTGGTGATAATTAAATCTATAGTTTTGTTATGAACAGCTTTTCAAAAACTCTTGCCTTCACTAGTTTACCGAGTATGACATAGATAAGCATAGTCATCTGAAAGAGAAACTCAGAATATAATCTTTATTAATAGATTAAAATTGTGGACCTTTCATTATTTAAAATAAAGATGATAATGGCAATAGAACTAATTATATTTCTACTTGTGATGATATTAACTTTACTTCACTATCTTTTTAAGTGTCTTGTTTTTGAAAATTTCTAAATATATAATTCAATTAAACGCACTGAAGGTAAAGGGCAAGAATCGCCCAATTATCACATATATTGACCAAATATAATAAAGTTTAGTAGCTCCCCCTTGAGCCGGGTTGGTGGATTCTGTATGTTCACCCTTTGCCATATCTCTCTCTCTCTCTCTCTCTCCCTAAGTACCTTCTACCCGATATCTACGCACAGCCCAACTATAGGAGCCCACAGAAAGTGAAAATAACAGGACTGGTGACATCTATTTGAGGGATGAAAAGGCTAATATTGCCTTGGAAACCAAACTAGTAGGCTTACTGAGGGAGAGTATAAGGAAAAAGAGAGGGTGGTTGGAGACAGGGAGGAACGGAATATTAAGGAAGAGGAAAAGGGGCTGCGAAATTCACTACTGTTCTGGAAAGTCAAATACCATCTCAAACTTAAAATGTTTCATGATGAAAGCAGACTTCTTAATGCAGAACATGCCATGTGCCATTGGCCTATTTGTTTTCGGCATCACCACAGCTGTAGCACATGCTGATTGCCACCTTGTGCTGCATGCTGCGGTGCTGTGCCATGTGCCGATGTAATTCAAACAAGGACAAAACTTGGATACAATTTTGATGATTTTTTTTTTCCCTCAAACATTTTAATATCTGAGATTCTGAGTATCTTTTATAACTTAAAAAGTCACATGATATGGTCTTTCAAAAAACTTCCCCTCCATGTTAAGGAACTGTACCCGAGGGGGGTTGTGTGTGTGTGTGTGTGTGTGTGATTATATATAGAGAGAGAGATTGAGAATTAGGATCTAAGCATGTTGATCTGCCAGCAATTCATGGTATGTGATGAATCTTGTGGCAGCTATTTAGTTCATTTGCAGGGCTAGAAGTTGTTGAGGAAAAATAGTGTGAATATCTGTTCTTCTCTCCTTAGATATCCAAAATGAAAGTATTACTTGCAAAATAATAAGTTTTATATCATGCCCTTGGATGTCCTCTGATCACATCTTACTTTGTTGTTTATGATATGATGCCTGATGGAGACTTGGCTAATATGAGGAGCCATGATTTTTTTATTAACCTTTCAAACAACTGTTACTAGATGATCTCCCAGTTTGAATAATTTCTATTTTAATTATCCTAACTAAAATTAGTAATGCTTGTTATTCCTCATCTTGCTTAAGGGTATATGGCTTTGTGAGCATCGGGATTATCCTACCTCCCGCAGAGTTGTCGTCACTCTGAATGGAATATGAGGTCCCAATATATGTTGTCCTTCGCCTGCTGTACCTGTGGCAAGGACAAACCTGAAGATATGTAGCGGATTGTGTAGATTTACTTTTACCTTTTTTATTTGTGCTTTTGAACCAATTACTTTTACATTACTCTGGCAAGAACTTGAATTCAGTGATTCCGTGTGTCATATTGATCGCGGTAGTACATGTCAGAGCTCTGTTCTTTCACATTCCGTGAAGGTCTAACACTGCCGCGCTCCCTTCGGGTTCAGTAGTCAGAGATCCGATTTGTATGTTGGAATAAAATAAATAGAAATTAGAAAACAACATATTTTGATTTGGTGGAGGCTCAATGGTCAATGCATTCTCGATCTGTGCTGGGACCTGCTGCGAGCTCTTCCACTTGCGTGCCGAGATGAGCTAAGCATTTTTCTTTTAGGCCGAAGGACTCATCAATTGAAGGTGAACTAATAAATATCAGTTGTGAATATTTTTCCCTTTTAACTATTTTAAATATTCACAAAAATTCTAAATTGTAATGCTGTTTAACGCTTCTGCTTGCGCATTGTTCGCTTGATAATGTAAACAATGTAACGCGTTTTCACGTATTCTTCATCTAATATTTCATAATCCTTAATCCCTATTTAATCCCATATCTCCAATAAATTTAGAAGTAACAAAGGTGTTTAAAGTCACACCCTTCCGGGAAAATTGAATTTGTTCGATTGGGTCCCGGGTGGAATCCCCGAGGGTTTTGGTTGTGATATTCCTTTCAATTTGCGAAAACAAACAATCTAAGCAAACAGTGGGGAGGCAATCAGACTAGTTCCCATCCATAAAGACAACCCTGAACCTGCGACATATGGATAGGTTTTAGCATTTTTAAAAATCGAAATTCTTGAAATATTAACCCTGTTTATGATTTGCATGACATGGCGTTTCCTAGCCAAAATCTGCACACTCTACTTTCTTTTGTTCTCAAGGATCATAGGCATTCTCACGAAGCAAGGATGGCCACGTCTATTCTAAATTCCCATGTCTTGTCATGATGTCTCGTATGGGGAAGGATTCCGCGGTGATGTCAAACTTTCTGGTAAAATTTTTATACAGATAATCTGATCTATCAAATTTGATCAAACGGATTTGTTTCAATTTAATTTGAATTGGATCTTATTAATTTTTGTCATCCCTTTCATATTTGGGCGTCCCCGGAGGATGATTGGCCGTTTAGCAGGATGAGACTCGAGGCAAACATTAGTTTGATGTCCGAGAAACGAAGTGACATAGGAAATTACTCTTGGCAACAAGGAATACTTGCCAGAACACAGATTAGCAAGAAATTGCTAGTTTCATGAGGATACTTAAAAGAACCTACTTTGCAAACTTGGTGCCAATTGCTCATTATGGTCAAATCTATACCTTCATATTTTGTACAACTCATACACCCACATAAACAGTTGGTACCCAATTTGTCAAAGTATTGGTGTTCCCGCAGCTGGGTATATCTCAAATGAGCATATAAATACATCATATGGTCAAAACAAAACTAGCTATGCCAATATGGTTTGAGTAAATTCAAACTGCATTCACGCAAAACATGAAACTGGACTTGTCAATTGCAACTTCGCTGGATACGATACTACATTCATTGATCAGCATGTTCTTGGCAAACACCTGACCACAGCATTAGTTAGATCCAGGTTAGAACAGTCCATCTATTAGAGAACCCCAAGAGAAGAGTTTCATTTACTCTATTTTTTTAAAAAGAACAAAAAGAAAAAAAAGAAGAAGCTTTAAATTAATACAAACAACCATCGATCTGTTTCTTCACCGATTCACTAAATCCTAGTCATGCCATATCCCATTTCCCTTTCTTTCTCGTAAGCTTCTGCCCCGTCTGTAGTCAATCTCTGCATCAGAGCAAGACAGCCCCATTTCATGTTTTTTACTGACTCGGGATGACCCCATTTTAAAGAATACATCAGTGGCGTTTCCTGGTGTACTAGCTCCAGAACAGCTGTTGCCGCTATGCCTTTGGGATTTAATATCTGAGACATGCATGAAAGGAACATTTGCTTATTGGGGTGTAAAGAAAACGCAATAAAGTTGAGGCACGGGAATTCTACTCCATTACAACGACTCTTCAACAAAATTATCCACCACTTTTTAAGCCGTTAGTGATATCTACTACATAAATAAAACATATATAGATGATCAACATGCTTTGCATAAATTTTAACCTTAAAAGTACCACAGCACATCAAGGGTCCAGTTACTCAATTGACTCTAGTTTTAGATGGAAGTTAATGTAAATATAAGTGAGTTTCTCTAATGTTTTAATATGTAATGAAATAAACAGATCAGGTAAACACAGGATACCTTCATATCCTTGGTATAGTGGGTGCTGACTGCGTCCATCCATTGCAGCATAGCCTGATTCTAATCTGAGACGACTCTGCGAAGCCACTGGTGTCTCCTGAGCTTTGAATCCTTTCATCAGCGGAGACTCTGTGCTTTCTTCCATAGCTGACTTAGAAGAGGTGAAGGGAGTCATAGTAAAAGAGTCATCCATTACATCAGAAATCTCCACGTATTGAGGGGTGGTGATAATTTCATCTGCACTGAAACCAAAGGATGCTCGGTAAGCTTCTATTTCTTCCACGTCTTGCTTTGGACTTCTAGAATGGATATTCTGATGTCCATTTCCACCGGTAGATTGAAAATCCGAATCTTTGGAGACACTAAGCCTCCCACCATTATGAGGAAATGGAGGATTTTGATCCAAATAAAATTGTGCATAGGTAGCAGGGCAGAAGAAATTTGAGTCTTGAGATGCCATTGTAACACCATTAGTATCTTGCCCAGAAAGCCTTCGAGACCCAGGACTTTGATATGTTCCACTTTTGGGAGATAGTGATGGATCCCACTGTGGAGGGAACTCCCGTTCGGGAAAAGAAGATGATAAACCATCACCAGAGTTCCTTGATTTTGGAGATAAAAGGCTACTTGCAGGACTTCCAGGATACAGTGAATATGTAGCTTGAAGATCATTTGTAGCGATGTAGTTAGTCTTGTCACCGTTCCTGAGTTCCACTGAAGAAGAAAGAAAATGAGCAAACGGTACATCTGGGGAAGAGGGAGTTGTTAAGTGAGCCAACTCAGGTGGAGGAGTGAGGGGAGCAGTGGATGGCTCAGTAGTGAAAGTTGAAAAGACAGGAGGAGAAACCAGTTGTGTTTCATGAGCATATGGTCCAGTGGCAAACATTGTAGATGAAGGACCTCCAGGTGAGTTGGCAGATAATGACAAGAAACAGCTAGGTGATTGTGCAGTTGAAGGAAGAGCCGAATGTGTGAAGGATGTAGGTGAAGAAGGTGGGGCAAGAAGAGAAGGAGCTAGTCCTGTGGCTTGATTTGTCAACCTGACTGCCGGAGGCCCATTTGGCTGGGCAGGCTGTCCATTGCTCTCGGGTATGCGAGATGCGGGTACAATACGCTTCCCCCCTTTCTGCGAACCAAAACAAGAAAATGCACTCCAGCATCCTCCCCATCTCTTTCGCTGTTAATACAGATATCACACACTTATTCAAACGGAGGAGACCATTTACGAATAGATATGAAAAGAAAAAATACGTCTTGAGGATTTTTTTTGAAACACTGATTTGCTTGTCACACTTAAACTGCTCAAAAGCATTTTAAGACGAAACAGACAAAGGAGCACAGACAAAAACAATATATTTATTTCAAAAGATTGAATATCTTTGAATTTTTCAGGTATCAACAATACATAAGCATTGAAATCAAATGATCCAACAGAAATAGCAAACCACAGATCAACTTTGGCAGCGTTTTGATATGACATGGGACTGAATTGTACAAACTGTTGCGGTTGATTAAAACAAAGCTCTTCTAATAGGTTTACACCCCGTTTGGATCATTTTTCCCCTTTCCTGGGAAAGTGCATTCAAATGGGCATTTATACCATTTTCAAAAACTAGACGAGTGTGGAAGTCGGACTATCAATCTAGTCCGACCTAGCAATTTAATTCAACCAAAGAAAAAGAGAAAGAAGAGCAGTTGCACCGAAGAGAATCAAACTAGAACACTCTTAAACTTAATTTCCAAGTGATAAATCTCTGAAAAAACTACAATCAGAGAATAGTAGGAGGAGGCTGTCGAAGCTGAAAATTCGACCACCAGATCCATCCAAATGTAGTTCGGGCATGAAGAAATAACCTTCAATTGAAGAGAAACCAAGGGGGGAGCGAGACAACATCAGTTAATAACAAGAAGACCCTAAAGAGCAAATTGAGAGCTGTAGAGGCTCTTATCGTCCATTACGATCCACAGACTAACAGATTAAAGAGTAACAAGAAGATGAACCAGGGGAAAAAAAGTAAAAAAGAAAAAAAAAAAAAAAGCTGTGGTTCTCAGGTGCAAACACAATTATAGCCGCTCAATGCGAGATCTGAGACAGGCACATGCATCTAAGAGTTAAAACGAGCACAAGCAAACGAAGAACGTGAAATCCAATCGGAAACAAACAAAATTGGAGTTAGGTTTTGCACCAAGTACCTCAGATCTAACCCCTATAGTCAATCCCTCAGGGATAAAGCAAGCTTCAGTAATTTAGAATCCAACTATGCAAATTTCAAGCTAAAGCAGGATGTGAGAGATTGAGAGCAATACCCCTTCCTGCTGAGGAAATCGATTTTGCTCGGACCCCATCAGTATTCAGTACCAGGGCCTTTACACTGAGCTGGTAGTGGTTTTTCCAGTTCCCAATGTCAGGTTTGTGAGAGGACACTAATAAGTTAGGCCAAACGGATCATTCTCACACTTGTTCATCACAAGAAGCTGACACCACCTGGACTTTTGATGCGAGAAGAAGGAGATTACATGAAGAATATTTATTAATTCATACGTTCATTCAAAGGACAGAGAAAGACAAAAGCGAAAAAGATTGGAGCTTGATGAAGATAGAGAAAAAGTGAGAGCGAACCGTCCGGGACAGACAAGACAGAGTTGCTTTGCTTTTCTTTTTCTTTCTTACATTTTTTATTCCAAAAACAAAGTATATTTTACGTCAATTTCGTCTTTTTAGATATGCATTTCCTACCTCAGACTTTTTAAAAATTACTTCCTCCGGTGATTTCCTCACAATATGTTACAAAGTATTAATTTGTTTTATATAATATTCTCAACTAATTAATTAAATTTTATAGTTTCGTTTTAGTTAGTAGTTCAGTCCCGTCCATTTCAAGCGCCTTGACATTGTCCTTATGTGCTTCATTGTTATTTAGTTATAGAAATTTAGCAGTAGTGTCTTGTTGATTCATCACCGCTCTTTTTTTTATTTTTTATTTTGGCTGTTCATAGGAAGCAGATTTCCAATTACTGTCGGGTGTTAAATATAAGTATTTCTTTTAATGAGAATTTGAGCTGTAATTTAACATATTATAAGAGATTAAATTAGACTGAAAAATATCTCCCACTTGTTTTAATAATAATGATGATGTATTATAGGTTCATATCCTAGTTGTGAAGGCCCGTCATATGTTTTTGTTAAAATTATTAAATTGTCTTATTATACTAATGATATTAAAAAAATATTTACATTTTAAAATTCACATAAAACAAACGAGATCTTTGATGAAGAAAAATAATTATTTTATGTACATGTAACAGTTAGCTGTCAAGACTTGAAAGATATTAATGGGCTAAAAATATTTTTAAAACTAAATTTAATAATTGTATAAAATTATTCACGCTATCCCCTTCAATTACCTACATCCAAAAGATCTCGTTTTTTTTTGGGAGAATTACAATGAGGTCCCAAGTAATTAAAAAACAAGTCTTAGAGGTTATCATTCTCACCGTAGGACTTGTTATTTCAGGCTGCTCAGGTTATTACTTGGAACTTTGTAGTGATTATTTCTCTTGTGTGGAACTTGAATGTAATTCTCCCTTTTTTTTGTTTTGTTTGGCCTGAAACAATCTAAAAGAAATTTACAACAACTCGCGGCATTCAACCCACTTCATTTTAAAGGAAGATCCCTTCTTTTCAATTAATGAAATTGAAGCGACAATTATCATTCAGGACAAGTCATTCATTGTTAATCAAATCAGCCGATAGAAATCTTCACTAAAAATGATTAAGCATATAATTTTGGAACCAAAATTTTCCTTTTACAAGTATAATTAATTTCAATGAATATGGATTTTTCAGGATTCATATAATTAATTTCCGTCATTACAAGCACTTCCTCCGATTCTAATTATAAAACCTCATTTATAATTTATAAAGAAGATTTTATAATTAGGACCGGAAATAGTATAACTGCAAGCCTCCACTCTTTTGCCTTTAATTGGCATAAATCCATTGGCCCACAACATAACCATTTAACACAAATTAACAACAACCTGAAAAATAACAAAGATTAGAACTCATTAAAAAAACTATTTTCTTATAATATGATGAACTAAAATTTAAATTCTCGTTAAAAAAATACTCATATTTAATATCCGACAATATCTCAAATGATATTAGAATAATACTTATATGAAAAAAAAAATCTGAAAGGAATTAGATGCGTAACCACCTGGAGCCCTGTCCAACGGTCCTGATTTATTGTGCTCACTACTCATTAGTGAATTATTTAAATAATCTAAATTTAAAATTTTTAATTTGCAAAACAATGGTAATTTTTTTTTTTTGAAGAAGTATTATTTATAAAATTACGTCTATTTTAAATTTTATATCTATTAAAATTAAAAGACGACAACAACAACAAAATCTCTCATGCGGAAAATCACCGGGAGGCGTCTGAAGTTGTCCGGATCCGCTAGAAAGGATACGGGGCATACGGTACTCCTCCAAACAAGAAAGCCGCTCTATTCTTTTCCCTTCCTGAGAAAAACTGCTGCGCAATGTTGCTTTAGAGTCAGAGGACCTAATTTTCAGAGACTTCAAAACACAAGGCATATGATGGATGTCTCAAACAGCCAAAGATAAAGCCTCTTTAGGGAGGAGAAAACAACACCAAAGATGCTGCCACTGTCATCAGAACCTAGGTGGGCCCTCGATATAGATGATCTGCCAATGCAGCCCATCAATATCATCAATTGTAACAGCACATATTCCCAACATAAATCTTGAAGCATAGTGGCAACCTTATAAATAAAACTCTGTCATGTCTGTTGTGGTTGATCTCTGTTCTTTCACTGGTAGGGGCAGAACAGCTCGGAAGTTAGAGAAGAAGCACAGCTTTGGATAATCTTCTGATCTGGCAATCATATGAATGCAGGGAAACAAGAAAACAGTGTCTCTATAGCGCTCCAATGGAAGACTTGAGACACGTATCAGGACTTCCAGCACCATATAGCCATCAGAATTCTTATCTTCTTCCATAAAATTGTCCATTGAATATCACAAAATCCACTGTAATCTGAAAAATCAACCAGAAAATTAGTGATGTGATGCTGCTAATTCTGCCAACTGTTTTGCGCCAAGATGAGACACGAGATCAATTGAAATGAAATGATTTTTTAAGTTTGTGAAATCTTCAGCCTTGATATTGTATGTTGATTGAAGTTTCTCAGCTTCACAGTCTGCAGCTTCGGCTTCTGCGAGCAGGAGATTAGCTTCTTCCTCATCACCCATCTCCAATGCGGCGGCTTTTTCTGCTCTGGCAGTACCAGCTGTCAAAAGTAGCCTCTGAAATCTGGCCATTGCTAATTCCTTTTCCTTCAATAGAATCATTTCCTCGCTCTCTTGCAATTGTTTAAGGGTAGTTTTGATTTCTTCCTCAACCTTCTCAAGATTTGAACTGCTTGTGTCCATGTTTATCTGCATGCCATCTTTTTCAACACACAGTGACTTGGCCTCACTAGCTATCCGTGCAGCCTCCTTGAAATTTCTAGCAGCAGTAGCAACTTTCTTCTCTGCTTCGAGTTCTGGGACTCTTTTACCTATGAAAATAATCCTCTGCTTTAAAGATGCTATATCTTGCTGAATGCCTGATTTTCTTGAAGATAGTTCCTGTAAAAACCATAACATTTGAACAAAGTGGCTATCAATGTATATCAGGAGAAAATTTAATGTCATCACACTTCACATGAACAAGCAACCGAGTCATTAGTAAGGGTAAAATGGCAAAAAGAATGAATTCAAAATATCACTGAATTGATTCACATGAGAGCCAGATGTGGCATTTCAAGCTAATATATACTCAAGTAGCTTAGCTTGTGCCGTCACACAAAAGAATAGTTTATTACATAGCAGAGGGGCCTAACGTGACCGTCGTGACATAGGGATCTTGTATCTTGGTGATTATTCTTCACACTCTAGGCATATAAACAGATCAATAAACACAAGAAATTAGTATAAGAAATAACCTGCAAGGAAGCTCGGGCAGCAGAAACATCCTCTTGGAGCAATTTGACATCTTCAGAAAGCTTTTCTTCATTGTTTGCAAGCGCCACTTTTTCCTCCCTGGATTTCAATATAGATGACATGAGGCTTTTTCTTGCACCAACTACTTCACGGTATCCTTTTGCTTCTTCCTCAGAAGTCTTAGCAAGTTCCATCAGCTTTGCTCCTGTCCCTTCTTCCTGACTCAGAAATTCATCAATTTGCTGCTTCTTTAGAGACAAAGTTTCAGTCTCTGAGCTCACTTGAGCAAGGACAGATTGCAAGTTATCATACTTAACATCAATGCTTGACTGAATCTCCTGAAATCCAGAAACCACATTAGATATTTTCTCTTCTACAGCTTCGATATGAGAGTCATTTTGTGCAATTTCCATTTCTTTTTGTTTGACTAGAGCAAGTAGCTTTTCCAGCTCATCCATTAAGATGTCCTTTCTTTTACAAAGGTTCTCTTTTTCTCTTTTATCATCCAGGATACAATGCTCAATAGTGTTATTCAACTCCACCCGAGCTTCACTCATAAATTGTGACTCGATCTCCAGTTCCATCTTTCTGACCTCCAAGGATTCAGAAGATGAAAGCCACTTGTCCATTTCTATTGAATGCATTGAGGCTGCTTCTCTCAAGGTGAGATCCGCCTTATCTGCAGCATTCTGAGAGAAAGGAATTATAAGCGTTAGAGGGACCCCAGAAAACACACAATACATTTAACACAAATATCCCTAAGTTCTCTATTCTACAAAAACAGAAATTGTCTGGATAGATACTAGAGTACTTGTTGTAGGAGAATATGCAAAAACAAGTATTGATATATGCCAAATCAAAATTGATAGTTGACTCCCAGTATTCTTTAGATTCTGCATGTACATTGAGTAACAGAATTATAAGCAGTCTAGCTTAAAATCAAAAGTTTTAACTGTTATATCCTCAATATATTTCCAACAAAACGACATCACATCCATTTTAGTTTACATTACTCGAACTGGTAGGTCAATCATAAAATATTAGATTATGGAACATGCTAAACTAAACATCTTACTCTTCCGAGACATGTTGCTCATGGCACCTTGCTATCCTATCTTAATTTCCATATTATGGCTTGACATTTATCCATATGGAAAGGATAACTGTTCTAGCCCTGTGTGAGTTGAGCAGTCTCAAAAACCAAGAAAAGTCACGGAACTCTCAGTAAAAAATTGACAAAAAATATGGTCGCAAATTGAAAACAGTTGAAATCACCTAACGGGAAACTCCATTTTACCCTAATTTTTATCATTAAGGGCAGATTATCCATGTCAATGGTTGTCAGAACAGAAATGTAATTACAATGAAAAAAGTTTTATGTTATTCAGTTGTACCTCATTTTAAGTCTGCCAATCTATTTCAAGCCTTAAGTGGATGAAATGAAGATAGTTTAACATCCACAAGGTTTTAAATATTCAGATAAGATTAGGATATTTCAAGAAATTACCTCAAAACTCAGGTCCTCTGAGCTCATTAACTGAATTTTCCTCTACTTGCACTTATGTCATAACTCATAGCCATCTATCACTAATTTTCAATCACAAGCCCTAGGCTTCTTTATAAAGCGCATCAACTCATGATTTTGCACAATATGCTCATCATGCAAATAACATTAGCTAAATTTCTAAAATCAAAACCCAAAATCGAATCCAGCAATTTTTTAGGGAAAAAATTCAAGATTTTGTATATTCCATATTTTTAGAAGGCTTGGCACCAAGATTAACCTAAAAAGTTGAAAATAAGTCTCCTTCTAAAGTGGATGGTAGCTGAAATCATAGTAACCCCCGCTCTTTTTAATACTTCTTATGTGTAATTTTCATAGTGATTACTTGCAGAGATTTTGAAGAGTTATGTAGTTTCAGGTATGATCAAAATTTGTGTCCTCTGATAAATGGACACAATATCAGTCAAATTTGAGGAGCTCCATAGCGTCCAATGTAAGTGTTAGACACAAATGTTCTTTTTGAACTGTGTAGGCTTCATATTTAGGAGACATGAAAAGGCTTAGGAACCTGCTAGTCAAAGTTTATAATGCTATCAACACTACTATTTGTAAAATGCAATACAAGTTATATCTTACTTATAAACATAATTCCAAGGATTTTCCATGCGTTTGTTTTGTCAAATTCCTCATTTATCTACCAGAAGATTTTCAAAATTATGCTAGAATGAGACATGGTAATTATTTCAATGGATAGCTAAAATCAAGACTGACACATAAGTGCCAAAATCAAACAATGATTATTAAAAGTGCTTAAGCTAAGGAGTGGTTCTCCACTGGTAGATGGTATATTCTGATGTACAGTTGTATTATTCTCTAATAGCTTGTATATATAAAGGAGTGGTATATTTGCAATCCAATTTGCTGCTTCAGGAAAGGAGCCCTAAAAAAAGACCTTCCAGCAGAGTACTCAAAGCTACTGTCACATAGGTGCTGAATTTAGAGGCTAGAGGGGAATGCCCATGATGCAAAGAAATGTGTGTGTGTGTGTGTGTGTATATATATTCAGATCATAAGGTGCCAAGAAAGAGAAGTATATGAGACTCAGAGATGAATTATGGCAATTCACATGGGTGACGTGCCACTGGTAATGGACGGTTCTTACTTGGTTGACTAAACAAAGCTAGAGAGAGGCAAGCTCTAAGGGGAAATGCCACTGTTGCTCCCTGCTACAGCAATGTTCAGACGTTCCAAGACAAACAATCAAAGACACGAAATTACCAAGATCCCAGTCCCCTTCTCTTACAGGCCAACAGCAAGTTGGCAAGCAACCAAGTGAACCCTTCTTTCTTACAATATCTAAACCCTCATTTTTCTCTGCTCCCGTACGGGGTCCAAACCAAAGAAAGGTATTAAACAAATCCTCCAAGAACAACTAACCAAGTCCAAGTGTACTCTTCTCTCTCGCAATCTTCTCAACTACGGTACGGCATATACATGATTTGCTTACTCTAGAAAAGTATGAGTCTCATTGATTAGTAGGATATAAGCTACGAGTTCGCTACAGAAATCCTAGCTTCCGGACTTTAGAAGGTTGGTTTACATTCCACCAAAGCTAATAAACAGTGTCCTGGTAGATTTTAAAATTATGCAAGCTAGGGTGTAAAGCATTTTTTGTCTGTAACAACAACGATGACAATCGTCGTGGATTAATTTTAGATATGAGCGAGCTAGAAAGGTGACAAAGTAGCAAAATTGTAAAAAGAACTTAATTTTACATCCTTCAAGACGTCTTTGGTTCTTCGGACTAACCTTTGCAAACTGCTCCAGTAAGATTGCACATTCTTCCTCAGTAGCAATTTGGGAGTCAAGTGCCTGCTGCATCTTAAAATCTACAGAATCGATCAACGCATCTGCCTCCCTCAATGAATTCATGCAAGCTTGTTTCTCCTTCTCAGCAGCCGAAAGGTCTTGGCTGACCCTTTCAGCCCTTTCAAAATCTTCGGCTTCACAGGCTTCTTCCAACTGCATTTCAAGTTCCATGTACTTAACAGAAGCAAGATTCGCATTCTCAAAGGCTTTTCTTCTATTCCTGATCGAATCCTTCCGGACAGCAGAAACAGAGGCTACCAGTTGATGGGCACTGTTAAGCTTCTCATCTATCCGCGCCTTGATCTGTCGAAACTCTGACTCAGACAAAGAATCATGAGAAGTTTTACTTCCCGGAGAAGTTTCTTCTTCTTTCTGATTAGGATTAATCTCAGATTTGGAATTATCATGAGAAGATTCATCGGCTGGTGGGATAACAACAGCATCCGAGGTGATCTCTGGGGGATGGGACGCAAGGGCATCCACATCAGGCAAGGAATAGGCGTTTTGCAAGACATCAGGGGTTTCAGAACCGATGTGACTAGAAATCGGAATAGGATGTTCAACTGGCGGAGAAGGAAGATGAGGCAGATCGTCAGAAACGGTGTCTCTACCATATCCTATCCTCAAGCCGGCTCGCTTTTTCTTTCTGGAACTCTGTCTCGTGGTAGTTGTTGTGGCGGCCGAAGCACCGGCGGCATCAGCGCCAAGTACAGATTCATTTGTGCCTGCGGATGGTTGATGGGATTCTGAATGGAGGGGAAGCTCAAGTTCAGCTCCTTGAGAATTTGGGAGGGAAGTGACAAGTGTGAGGTCGGAGAAGAGATTTTCATCGAGGGGCTGCGAAGAAGGTGACGGTGCGACAGCAGATGTCGTAGGAAGATCATCTTGACGATGTTGAAGACTGTCATCAGTACGATCGTGTTGTTGATCATCTGGGCTGGGGTCTTCTTGAATTTGGGAAGGATTAAATAGGACCATCCCCTCAAATAGCGAATCGATATCATCATCTCCATTTCCTGCCATCATTCGACTTCCAATTCACAAAAATCTGAGGATCAGTTTCTGATAGCTAAGCCCAACCGAACTGGAAGTCGAGGGCCAAATTCAAAAGTAGCTTCGCTTCCTCGTTTCTTCCCCGTTGTGTTTTTGTACGGGGGTGTTTGGGTTTTACTTCAAACCATGTTTTGAAGAGAAAATCATGGTTTAAAAAAAAAAAAGAAAGAAAAACATCCAAACACTACACTGTATATTTTTTTAAAATCACTTTTTAATTTGAAATTATGGTTTGTATAAAAGTAACTAAACACTATAATTTTTTTCAAAATCACTTTTTATTTTTTTCTAAAAAAATCACTTTTTATTTGAAAATCATGGTTTTGGGTATAAAAGCATGGTTTTTCATAAAGGGAATTTTTTTTGCTTTTAAAGGTATAAAATCATGGTTTGGGATATAAATAAATATATATATATACACACACACACACACATATCAATTACTACCTTTGATTCTTTATGTAAGAATTAGAAAACTAATTTGTAAATATTAAGAAAATTAGTTAAATTATTTATTTATAATAAATAGGTATTGCATTCTCTAAAACACCTATTAATGATATGCATTGGGATGTGCAAATTAACATGAAGACTACTTTAAAAAAATAAATAAATGTATGAGACAAGATAGATTGATATCTTATATTCAAAATTAAATGAAATACCCAATTAGCTCTTATACTAAGGACCAGAGATAATATTAATTATATTTTTCATATATAATTTATTATTTACAAATTTATTATTTCAAATAAAAATATAAATTAAAATCTATCATTTATCTAATTATCATATTAATTTATGTCATTTTTAGTAATTTGTATATAAAAAAAAGTTTCTGATAACAATTATTCAAATATTCTCACTTTATCAAAATCACTTTTTTTTTCAAAATATATTCTCAAAATCTATTCTTCTGAAATCTATTCACAGAATCTATTTATCCAAAATCTATTCTCCAAAAGCTATTCTCTAAACCATGATTTGGTTTCATCCAAACACCACCGTAGTCATTAACATTTACCAATAGTTTTTTGAGAAAATTGGGATAAATCCTTGTTAAAAATTTAATTGGCAAATAATGTTTAAAGACTTTGTACAACTTAACTTCTATTGTGTATAAATTAACTTTTTTTTTTAAGAAAAAAATGGAACGCTCTCTCTCGACTACGCTCCAGGAGAAAGACGAAATCCCACCACACCCCGACGACAACCGCTCAACCAAGAAGGTCAAGATACGGGACCTTCGTGCAGGTAATGATTTGGATATGCTCTCATATGACCCCATCGAGTCAGATGACGATGAGACGTCGGCTGAAGAAGAAGTCGTACCTCAGATACCGGAGGACGCAAGGAAGGCAACTAACCCACCTTCCTTCAAGGACATGCTCCTTAACAAATCCTCCAAGAAGCAGGAAGACGGAGAAGACTTCTTTTTCCAGGATGGAGATGTTACCATCAACAAACAAGGGCCCATTCCTTCCATCAGCTTCTCAGAGAGGGTCCACCGTTTGCTCAATGACAGCATGAAATACTCAGTTGTCATTAAAATGCTGGGAAGAAACATTAGGTATGCAGACCTAAGGGATAAGGTGGTCAGCCTCTGGAGGCTCACCGGCCCGGTGCAACTAACTGACTTGGAAAACAACTGTTTTATTGCCAAACTCAGCAACGAACGTGACTACACCGAAGTACTTTTAGGAGGCCCTTGGGTCATATTCGGCCACTACCTCACCGTTCAACCATGGATGCTTGACTTCTCCCCTGGACCCATAGGACCTCCCACGTAATGGGATGGATTCGACTCCTAAGCTTGCCAGCTAAATACTACAAAAAAAGTGTGATTAGAGCCATTGGAGAGGTTCTAGGAAAAGTTCTCAGAATCGACTACAACACAGCCTCCGGAGAAAGAGGCAGGTTCGCTCGGATGGCAGTGCTCATTGATCTCTCCCGGGCCCTAACATCAAAAATAGAAGTTGACAACCGCACGCTCCTGGTGGAATATGAGGGGCTACCCACAATATGCTACAACTGTGGGCATTACGGTCACCTCAAGGATGTCTGCCCGAGGAAAATCGATGAAACCGGAGCACCATTGCTCCAACCCCAACCGGAGACAGCGACGGAGCCTCAAGTTCAAACCATGAACGCCGACAGCCTGTACGGTGCTTGGATGCAGGCCCCGGCCAGACGACGAAGAAGAGACAAAGAGGAGAAAAAGATGTCAGAAATGAATAACCAAAAAGGTGCAAGCAGTGGTTCCAGGTTTGACCTCTTGAAGTCCGATGATACCATCCCAGACCATGCAACCATGCAAGCTACAGTACCCAACAAAGTAAATGTCAACCCTCCCGTTAGCCCTGACCGCTCAAAAGCAAAAGGAAAAGAATCCTCTTTAGTGAAACCTCGGAGCAATAAGAACAGACCTGTACCCACCCCTGACACCACACCCAAGAAAGACCAACCAGAAAGCACCCGAACCATACCCAATCCTGACAGCCTTTTTGCTAGCCGCGTCTACAAAGCCGCAAACCCAACTCTTGACCCTACCTGTCACCAGGCTGTCACCATCCCCCATCCTAGTTCACATTCTCCAACCAACCCCCAAGGCCAGCCCACCCCAAACCATCCCCAACAACCTGAGCCTAGAGCTAAACACCCGACCCCTGTAACCCAAAGCTGGGTCTTAAAGAGCAAGCGAGTATAGTGATCCGCAAGCCCAAAGCTCGACAAAATGAGCCATACCCAATGCTTGCAGATGAGGTCGTACAAGCCATAACCAAATCTCTGGACGAGACGGATCCCTCTAAGGACGCTGACTCCGCCGAAATCTCTGAGGAAGATATCGATGCGACGAGCAATGCCAACATGGAGTGCTAGCTCCACACTCCTTTCCACCATCTTTATTATGTCTGTCTTTATATGGAACTGTCAAGGCGCGGCAGCGCCCAAATTCCATACAGTGCTGAAGTCCTTTATTAAAGATTATAAGCCGATGCTCGTGGTCTTGGTAGAACCTAGAATTTCTGGCCTCAAGGTTGACAGAGTTATCAAAAAAATAGGCCTTCCTTACTCATATAGAGTGGAGGCAAATGGTTTCTCAGGAGGCATATGGATCCTCTGGACAGAAGCAATCAGTGTCGACGTGCTAGAAAGTCACCACCAATTTATACACTGCTCAATCACCCTCAGAGATAGCCAAAAACATTTCTTTTTCTCGGCCATATACGCCAGCCCACATCCGAAGTAGTGCTCCCTACTCTGGAATGAGCTCTCGAAGCACAACCCCCAGGGCCACGAGGCTTGGATGCTCGCAGGAGACTTCAACGCTATTCTCTCATCCAATGAAAGGAATAGCAACTCAATTGGCCGAACGCGTGGATGCCCACTCTTCCAATCCTTTACCCAAACCAATAGCCTAGTCGACTTAGGCTACATAGGCCCACACTTTACTTGGCGTCGGGGCCTCTACCTTGCCAGACTAGATCGTGCCCTCTCAAACATCTCCTGGATCCAATCCTTCCCCCTTTCCAAGATCCATCACCTTTCCCAAATTGCCTCTGACCACCGGCCACTTTGGATTGACCTTGGACTCAAAAATGGACCCACTGAACCGAAGCCCTTTAAATTTCTTGCAGCCTGGACTACACACCCACTTTTCCCAAGCCCGGTGCGTGATAACTGGACCCCATCCTTACCCCTTGAAACCAACCTTGCAAATCTAGCCATAGCAGCCCAGCAGTGGAACCATGAAGTATTTGGTGAAATTGGTAAAAATAAGAGAAGACTGAGGGGTCGCATCAATGGGGTCCAGCGTGCTCTAGAAACGCGCCCCCTTTCCTCTCACCTCAATGAACTGGACATCACTCTTCGTTCTGATTACGAAATGGTGTGTCTCCAAGAGGAACTCCTCTGGTTCCAAAAGTCTCGTGCAAACTGGATCAACCTGGGGGATCGAAATACATCTTATTACCACACCCAAGCAAGAATCAGAAGGCGTCAGAACAGAATCGCTGCCCTCCAAAATGAAAGCGGTGAATGGGTTACTGATGAACAAATCCTCCTTCAGATGACCCAAAATTACTACTCCAATCTTTACTCAACCCACAATGAGCCTACCAACCATACACGCCCAAAGGTTTGTTTCCCCTCCTCCCTTCTTCTTCTTGGTCTACTTTATCTGCCTCGCCTACTAATACAGAAATAAAGCAAGCCTTGTACGACATGAAACCTCTTAAGGTGCCAGGGATAGACGGTTACCATGCACTCTTTTATCAGCACCAATGGGAGGTAGCAGGAAATTCCCTTTGCGAAATGGTGAAGAATTTCTTTGTTGAAGGACACATGGATCCTTCACACAACCGAACGCTCATCACTCTAATACCAAAAATTGAAAGGCCGCGCACTCTCAATGAATTCCGCCCAATCAGCCTCTGCACAGTTGCATACAAAGTGATCACTAAATTAATGGCTAACCGTCTCAAAAGCCTCATGCTAGAGCTTATTCTCCCCTACCAATCAAGCTTCATTAAAGGTAGGAACATCACTGACAATATCATTATTGCTCAAGAGGTTATTCACTCAATGAGAAGGAAGGGAGGCAAGAAAGGATGGATGGCAATCAAAGTTGATTTAGAAAAAGCATTTGATCGATTAAAATGGAGTTTCATTGAAGACACACTCAAGGACGCCCAGCTTCCTGAAGGCATGATAAAGCTGATTATGCACTGCATTACCACCCCTACGATGCAAGTACTCTGGAACGGCAGACCTTCAAATGCCTTTCAACCTACACGCGGCATCCGACAGGGGGATCCTATTTCCCCATACATCTTTGTACTATGCATGGAACGGCTCTCCCAAGCGATCAGAGCAGAAGTTGATGCAAATAGGTGGGATACCATTAAAATGGGAAGAGGCGGTCCTTCACTCTCCCACCTTTTCTTCGCAGACGACCTTATCCTTTTTAGCTCCACATCTCCCAGGCAAGTCAATCTTATTAAGAAGGTTCTCTTAGACTTTTGTGTATCCTCGGGGCACTCCATAATTCAGGCGAAGGCACGCATTTATTTTTCAAGGAATGTCAAGAAACAGGAGGCAGATAGTATATCTGCGAACCTTGGATATGAAAAAACAGAGCAGCTCGGTAAGTATCTTGGGGTCCCGCTTCTGCACTCTAGAGTGACCAAAGATACCTATCTCTACATCATTGAAAAAATCCAGCAGAAGCTCTCCACTTGGAAGGCTCGCTCTCTCTCACTAGCGGGTCGTATCACACTTGCAAAGTCAACACTCACTTCCATACCTTGCTATGCGATGCAAACGTCCAGGTTGCCCGCTTCATGCCACCAAAAAATGGAGCAGCTAATTAGAAACTTCATTTGGGGATCCGAAGACACTCACAAAGGAATCCACCTCCTAAACTGGCGAGAACTCTGTCAACCAATCACGAACGGAGGGTGTGGTCTCAGAATGCTACGTGCTCAAAATCATGCATTCCTCTCCAAACTTGGCTTTTATCTAGTAAGCAGACCAAATCTTCTCTGGGTTCAGGTCCTTCGGGCTAAGTATAACTGGTCTAAAGAAAATAACTACAATTTCCAAACAAAAACCAGCTCCCACACCTGGAGAAGTATAGCTGCAATATGGCCCGAAACTGCGCTGCACATCAAGTGGAAACCAGGAAACGGTCATAAAGTCAGTTTCTGGGCATACAACTGGATTGGTGATCTAGGGCCTCTGAAGAACCTTGCCTTCTCGATCATCAATGAGCAGAACCTCTAAAAGCCTATCTGCGAATTTGTGGACGACCAAGGCAACTGGCGTTGGGACCTGTTCCAGAACCTGATTCCCACGTCTGTTAATCTCCAAATTGCTGCCATGCGACCACCTTCACTGCATGATGGCGACGAGACTTGCATGTGGAACCTCAGTGCCAATGGACAATTCACAGTATTGTCTGCTTACAAATCCCAGGAAGAATCTGAGTGGGACATTGTCGACCCCCGCTGGAAATCAGTTTGGAAATGGTCGGGCCCTCAGCGGGTCAGATCTTTCCTCTGGCTCGCTGTCAAAAACAAACTCCTAACGAATGCAGTGAGACTGTGAAGGCACCTTACAATTGACGCCACCTGTGAAGCATGTCAGCACAACGCTGAAGACATAGATCACGTACTTCGGCACTGCTCGATTGCTACTAACTGTTGGAAAATCATCATCCCGGAGAGACTTCTCCACCGCTTCATGACCTTACCACTCATGCAATGGTGGCAGATAAATCTCAACCCTAAACGAACCTCTAATGCATGGACGCTCACTTTCGGATTCCTCACGTGGAAACTATGGGGGGCCAGGAACAAACGCCTCTTTGCGGGAGATACTCCTGATTCTCAACAAATCATAGCTTCCGTGAGAGCTCTCGTTAGTCATACTTTGGCGGCCAATCATTTAATTAATTATGTTAGCAGGTCGCATTAGTTTTTTGTTTTAGTTTGTTTGTCTGACTCGGCTCTGTGGCTCTCCCAAGCCGTTGTTGTATAGTTTGTACTTCTTTTCCAGTAATTGATTTCCTTTCCATTCAAAAAAAAAAATTAACTTTTTTTTATGCAATTTAATTTTTTGCTTGTGTGCAATAATCTTATTTTGTGCGTTATGCAACTCAATTTTTCTTTATGTAAATGAAATTATCTTTTGTGCAAGTTATTTTTCTTATATGTAAACTAATTCTTTATATCTAAATAATATTGGGGAAATTGCAAAAAAAGACCTTGGAATTGCAAAAACGCAGATAGGGACCCTTGACAACTTCACTATGGGTTTTGACAACTTCAGGGCATATTATTCTTGTCAAAACCCATAGTGAAGTTGTCAAGGGTCCCTATCTGCTTTTTTGCAATTCCAAGGTCTTTTTTTGCAATTTTCCCAATAATATTCTATGCAAACCATTTTCTTTTTGTACAACTTACCTTCCTTTGTGTGTAACTAATCTTTCTTTATATAATCAATCATCTTAGATCCCCTTTGTCGATTAAATTTTTAATAAGAGATTTATCTCCAATTTATCTTATTTTTTTTAAAAAAAGATATTTAGTACAAGTCGTGTCTAGCAATAACACCAGAGGTTTTAAGTTCATAGTAATTAAAAAAATATTAAAATAATTTTAATAGTAAATTATTTTTATTTTATTCCACTTGTATCTTATCAAAATATTGAATTATTGATTAAATTGTTAACACATTTTATTAATTATTAAATTTATTTATTACTTTAAAATAATTTTTAAATCTGAATATTTTAGTTTAATTGCTATTTAAAATTTTAAATCGTTTGATAGTTTTCGTAATAAATTTGCTAAAACAGAAATATTAGTCAATTTTGGTCCTTGGTGCCAAATCACACCCACGATGAAATAAATGATTGCAAAATGCTCTTATAAACAAGTCTACCCAAAAAAAAAGAGTTGGAAGAATTATCCTTCTTGAGAATTTAACTGTAATTCAATGATACTCAAACCTAACAATACCAAATATTAGATACAAAGATCATGTGCTCATTTCAGAATTTTTTATCAAAATCTCCAATTACAACCCAACTCCTAAAATCTCATCCAAGCTTCCACGATTTCCCCTCACGAAAGAACTTAACCATCAGTCACAGTCACAATAAGGTCCGTTTGAAGCCAAAAAAAATATAAAACATCCTGACATATCCTGAATTATGTCAAGTCAAACAAATATCAATCATCTATAAATCACTATAAGCAATAAAATTTGCTATGGAATCAATAAAGGTTTACAAGAAATATGAACTATAATTTATCTACCATTAAGAAGAGATGTGTGTCAAGTTACTACTTTACAGTTTACACAACACTTAAAAGCATGACAAATAATGTAATGAAGTTAAGAGATTGTAAAGAGGCGATTGATGTTTGTTGTCATCAACGAACAGATTTTTCATCTTAATGGACCCACCATACTCACCTTGCAATTTTCTTGGCAAGCCAAATACAAATAAATAACCTCAACATAACGAATATTAACGATTAAAATAATGAAGAGACATTGCTAATGAAGGGGGACCCACTTTCTAAATGGATGTGTTTAAGCAGATACACAGAAATCTTTGCTGCCAAGTAAACTAGACAGAAGAAACAAATAGAACACATTAACATTGCCTGCGGATCCCTTTCTAACAAATCATACCACCAAAACCTGATTCATTCTACCCTTTAGTCTCACCAAGTTCAACGTCCTTCAAAGGTTTCTTTTCAACCTCCTCTTTTAATAGTCTGATTTCTTCTTCTGTCAGGCTGTTTTTGACATGGGACGCGGCCTTGGCATTTGCCTGCTTTTCAGCCTCTACAGCCCAACTGTAAACTACCATGCCAACAACGGCAAGAATCATCCCCATGATATTCTTGAAAGTTAGCTCCGAATCAAATAGCAGCCACCCCAATGTCAGGACACATACAGTTTTCATGTGACCTAAAACCTGGAAGGAGGTGGCTGAGAAGCGTCCGATGCAGAGGTATTGACTCATATTGCAAAATACAGCAAGTGAGCATGAAAGAAGAATGAACAACTGCAAACGTTTCACAGCAACGTATAAATAAATCATTTTTAACACTATCTGTATAATTTGAGAGAGGCACACAGAATATGACAGCGACTTGTCTCAACAAGTAGAGAGAATGACTACTTACAATTGCACCAGTGGTCATCTTATAGTTGGTTATCAACTTGCCATTAAGGAAGTAATCAACAAACGGACCAAGAATAAGAAGAGAGAGGGCTTGAATAGGAGCTGTCTTGCTCAGCAATTCAAAAGATCCAATTGAATATTTCTTTTGCAAAGAACCTATTGTCTGTCACAATCATGGGGATAAAAAAATCAGTGATACAAATAGCGTATATGCAAGTATTTTCTCTACACTCAGTTGACAATCAAGTCGATGTGCATGTCCAGAGAGAGAAGGGGGGGAGGAGTCTTTATAACATCTAATAAAGAATAACAATTATGCTCAGTTATGACAATAGATGTCAGATTGCTTCCATAGCTAGTAGTGTTGTTACTTACAATTTGCTGTAAAGATGTTGATAAAACTGCTACACAGGCACACATGAAACCTTTGAAGTTAACTTTTACATCAGTTACAGTGCAAACACCAACACCAATAACTACGACCAGGACTGACAACTTCACTTCCTTTGAGTAGTGCTTGCTATGAAGTATCCATTCCATTACACAAACCACTGGAATCATGCTCAGTTTAGATATCTGTACATATAAACAGAAAGAAATTAATAAACGCAAGATAGAGGCAGTGAAAATTAGAAACAGAAGGCGATCAGTTTTGAAAGTTACAACACAAGGGTAAAAGCTGGGAATCATGGGAATGGAAACAAGAGCCTGACAACAATTTTTGGGTAAATTTTAGAATACAAATAGCTTCTTTCACTATTTGCATTTCACAATTGCATGTCTTAGTTTTATAGAAAGATTCTGATAAGGAATTAAGGAAATTACCCAAATGCATGGTAAAATCTAGAATTTATAATGGTGTTTTTATTTGAAAATAATTACTATTAAAAAAACAAAGCCTTTTTCATCAATTCAACAAACGACTCTTAAAAATAACAATTTCTATAACTGAAACCGTGCTGTTCAAGTGCCCCATCAAAATGAAAAACGGCTTCTACTTCTTATTACAGATTTACCAAAACACGGATCTATTTGGGGGGAAAAATCGGAAGGTCTATCCAAACGAGACCTGATTAAAACTAACGTCTACACAGCTCTTAAAACACTATGCCAGATTCAGTTTTGGGAAAATTTCCATCGTTTATGCTTATTACAACTAACAAAACATATCTCTTTGGTTAACTGGAGTCAGACGTGTAGGATTGACACCACTTGCACCAGCAGATAGTCAGATGAAAGATGTATTCCTCGTTTAACAACATGCAGATCAATCAAAAAATACAACCAATTATGGAAGGCTTATATAGTTTTAGCCCGCGCGTGTTTGATAAAGATCTACATGGTTGACTATCGAGATTATATAAAGTGAAACATCTAATGCATTATAAGGGATGGAAACTTTAAACATACAACTGGAAAATAGAAAAACGGAAAGATGGGGAGAAATACGACTATACAGATAATGAACATTGTTGAATACCTCATTTCCATTTCAAAAAACAAAAAAGAACATAGTAATGCTCATCAGAAAATCATACCTGGTAAAACCCCACCGAGTTTAGCATGAGGCTGAAGTTCATCCCTGTGATAGACATATTGGCAACCACTGAGAACCACAGAAGCTCCCACAGAGGCACATGCTTTGACGCAGAATAACCGGTAGCATTTGACACTAGACCCACGATAGCAGTTACAGCAAAGTGAAACCCAGTTAACGTAGTGGCTGAAAGAGCAAATGAGACGAGAGAAAGTTAATAAATCAGAAACCTCATACAATGGTAAGCTCATAACCCATGAGCAGAAACTGTAGCATATAACGATATAAGAAGTTGACGTCGTGCTACTAAGCTGCAGAACAATTTCACAGCATAAATAATACAAACATAAAGTACATTGTAAATTAAGGGGGAAAGCAAAGGAAATGCGACGGAATTTAGATCGCGACTTAAGAATAGAGTAGATCCAGTGAGTGGAAAGATCAAACAATGTCGGAGGAGAAGGCAGGGATCTAATGCTTCTAGATCCAAACAGGAAAAAATCACAGTTGAGAAGAATGAGGACTGACCAAAACTGAAACCATAACCACTGCCGGACATGAGCTGTTTGTTGGCCATGATGATCCCAACAGAGCTGACAACGTTCATGGCCCATGCTCCCACATCAGAAATCGCCGACGACTTCTTCTCGTTCTCCATCTTCTATCGCGCGCGGAGGGTTCCAAAAACAAAACAATTCAGATTAATTTAAACCGAATAAACACGAGATATAGAACAATCTCCAAGGAATAACCGCTACACCGACAACAGATCTGAGGGAGCCAGAGAACCCGACGCGGCAGATTCAGAGAAAGGAGAAAGGAAGAGATATGAATCTGTGCGGCAAACAGGTTGCCAATTTGAAGGGCGAATGTGGAAGAAAGGGACGAAAAAGAAAGAAAAGAATGGAAAAGGGAAAATGAAAGTTGATTGAGAAGGAAGAAAAGTGAGGGAGGAAGGATTCACGCTTGGATTGGACTTGGAGGATTGAGTTCCGGTGGAGGCAGCTCGGCCCTTTGAGTACGTCTCTCCCCTCCCACAACACTTCCTCGCAGTTTCTGGCTCTCCGTCACATTCCAGTCTCTCTCTATGTGCTCACTGATCTGTAAATCTTGCCTTCCTTGTACATTTCAAAATAGATCTACCACCTGTTGCTTTTCGGATTTGAATCCCCTGCCGAGTTACTTATCGCCCGATTATATATTGAAGACGAAAAATTATCTAGGCTTTTTTAAAATCAACCTCCGTATAAAATTAAAATATAAAGTTTATAATTTTTCTAATGATGAATGATGACTGCTAATTCACAACATTTTCTCGTATTTTTTGGCGGCTTGTAAGAAAAATTTATATGATTCACATTGACTTAAATTTTTTTTTAGACCAGCACTTAAAATTTTATATTGATTCATTTTGCTTCCCATGTTATCATAAATGTTTGTTTACATCAATCACTATCAAAGACAATTATAACAAATACCGTCATTAATTGTATGAGTTTGTGTTTAATTATATTAAAGAGTTTTTGTACGATAACTTATAATACTATCTTTTAATAAATTCTAAATGATTAAATAATTATCTATTTATACTGAATATTTGTTGCATTAGAAAATTTTAAAATACAAAAGTATTTATATTTAATTATAATTAAATTTAAAATTATTTTGGCTGGTGCATTTCAGCTACACGCTATTTGGTATATTTCACAGAGTGATCCATTATTTGTCAATTATTTCTCTATTTTTAAGGTTAAAGCAGTATCCATCTGTAAAATGGAATTTCAATTTCATCCATAATGCAAATCTCACGTGCATAAAATATTATGCAAATTTTTTTTTTGGTGGAAAAAATGCGGCCTATGGGAGCTCTCCTTAGAAGAGATGATGTGCTTGTATTAATGTGAGGAAAGGGGAAAAAAAAAAAAAAAGTAGAGAGAATGGAGAAGTACCCAACTTTTTCTCTTTTTCTATCTTCCAGTGGAGTTGGATTAATATTTCTTACCTATTTTAAACTTGAAGCAGCTTACCTATTTTAGTGGGTTGTTTTCGGGTTGAACAATTGCTTTTGCTTCCCCCCCCCCCCTTCGTTTCGTTGGCGTTTGAGGGTATAAAAGAAAGTGAAAGTGAAAGTGAAAGGAAAACAAAAAGAAAAAGCAAATTAAGCCAAATATTAAAACTAATTAACAAGAGGAGAGGGAGTAAAAACTATGAAATGGTTGCTGAAAATACGTAACATAATTTATAATAATCATGTTCAATGTCTGACCAAAAAAAGTCATGTTAAATGGGATAGATCCAACCAAAATAGTAGTACAATAGAGAGAAAATATGAAATTTATAATAAATTGTATTATTAAAAAAATCACGAACATTGGAACTCAATTTGAAGTTATAAAATGCTTAAATTTTATTATATTATGTGAATATAGAGTATTCTAATATTAAAGCCTGATAATTAAGTTTTAGAGAGTGTACAACGTGTTTCAGTTATTGTCATTCATTGTCTAGACTTGCTTTCATCACATTATAATGAAATGAATTTATGAGACAGTAATTAATTCTTAAACTTTGATACTTATAAATACAAATAATTAATAGAACTCGTTTAATTCTTGCTTCATTCAGTGGCAAGAACTCATTTGATTCTTAGTTTTCTACTACAATTTTGTTTTTTTTTTTTAATTACTACGCGTAATTAAGTACGAAAATCCTGGTTAATCTGTAAAGTCTCAATAAAAAAAGGAACGAAATATTGACCTGGTCTTGATTCCAATCCGGTTCTAATTCAGTCAAAGTCAAATAAGTTCATTGCTGATGGAGTATTAAGACCAGATCTCATAAAATCTGAAACACTCGTGTGGAGATGAAGTTTCATTTACCAGTTCAAATGCGAGTAAATCTATATAAGTTATTTTATTTTCCATACTTTTTTTTTATAACTCAGTTTAACTCCACAATTTTATATGTAAATATATAATTTCATTTTGTAAAATATAAGAATCAATATTACAAATAATTTAAACAAGAAAAATTAAATTCCATCAAATCAAATTTTAAAAATTGAATTACGATTCGTATTGAGTTAAAAATTCAAAAACTAGGTTTTAATTGAATGACAAGTATAAGGAATAAAAGACTAATTTTTTAAAAAAATTATTTTTAGTTATGTGTCTTTATGTAAATAATCAACAACCTTAATTTAGGATCATAATTTAAGAATCGAACAGCTTGAGGTACGAGAAGGTGAAGTAGAATGTGGGTAGGTCAAGAGCGATGCCTGTTGAGAAATAGAAAGTTGAATTGCGATTGGACGCGGCTTCCATAAATAGACTCTCAATTTCGGGCGATGGAGCCACCGACACTATTTGTGGGCCATGAAATCATGACTCATCACCTAAACTAAAACATGTCATCACCGCGTATCTGTTCTTATTTGATATATATTATACTTAATATAAATAAAACCAACATAATAAAAAATGAAAGGTAAAATTGGACATCTATATAAAAAAAATTTCTCACTATCTTGTAAACAGATTAAAAAATATTTTTCTCTCTGCCTTATAAATAAGATGATAGGAGTGCACCACACCTAGTCGGATTGATTCAAAAATGCAAGCATTTTTCGTGTGTAGAATGCTTGTATACTTGAGATTTGGATATAGTTTTATACTTGGACGGAAATTATTTTGACGGTTGATATCCATGTATTAGCATATCAAGATCAAGTTAACATACTTAATTAACTGCAGATGAATTGTTAATTAAAAGATATCATTTAATAACTTTATTAAGCATTCTTTTTGGTTTTTGAAACTCCATGCCTATCTAATACTCCCTCCGGTTCTAAATATAAGATCCATTTTGTAGTGTAATTTACACTACAAAATGGGTCTTATATTTAAGACTGGAAAAGTATATGACTTTCACTGGAATCTCCATTAACCCATCTTCTCTGTAAACGTATGATTAACACCCAAAATGAAATAAATAATAGGAAAAGAGATAGTAACCGTTTAATCACTATTGATTTTGCTGAATTATTCGTTGTTTCTTCAAAACTAATAACCCAGAAACAGAACTAAACATATCCATAATTTGTAATTCTAAAATCTGAAAAAATAATATAAACGAGCTGGAGTTAAGCCGTCACTGTCGTGAAAATAATTGATCAAAGAATCCTAACAGTTTATGATTGTGGAGCCAATCATAACTCGCGCCTCTTGTTTTCTTGTGAGTTCCAGCCACAGGGACTTGAGCTCTCTCATGGAGCAGAAATTATGGAAAGCAAGCAGCACATGATGATCATGATGATGGTGATGGGGTGATATTTTAAAATTTTGAAATTATAATTATTATTAAAAAAAAAGTCAGCCACATGGAATATTCCTGTTTTCAAACATGGCTACTTTTCATTTTCATTATTCTCTTCTTGTTGTTTCACGTTTCTGCCATTTTTTTAGTAGTTGCTTATGGGTGAAAAAGATTTAAAATAGCTTGGACTCTTCAAAGGGAAGATTCATTACCACAAAATTGACCAATGTGAGTTAGAGAAATAGTAGTATCTTATTGGGAAACGAATCATTTGGCATTTTCAAATGTTTTTGGAAAATATATTTGTGTTTAGGAAGCACTTTGCTTTTTATTTACTGTTCCTCTCCATTTGTCATCATTTAGTGATCCGACAAAAAAAAAATTTGTTGAATCTTCTAATTAATTTTGGTGTATTTTTGTCAATATATGACGAAAAAGCTTCTTGGTTTTCATGTGCTGTGGGGTTAGGCCGTTTTGAAGAATGGGATATATGTTGGCTACTTTATAGTTGCAGATTATGTTGTTTCGATTGTCTTGGCCACCTTATTTTATTTTATTTTATTTAGTTGGATATGATGTTCTAGTTACTGCAAACTTCAATTAAAGCTGATGGTTATAATGGGATTGAATTTAGGGATCTAGTCAAAACAGTTAGTTTTTCATAATGTGATACATCAAAGTTTTAATTTCTACTAAAAAAAATACTCATATTTAACATCCGACAGTGTTTCGAATAAAATTGTCTTAAAGATACTTATGTGTAAAGAAAAAAAAAAAGGCTAATGGCTAAAGAATTCATATTCAATTGTTCATGTTCTTTTCTCTGGTCTTGTAATATAGCAGCAAGCTTCCTACTTTTTGTTTTTTTTCCCCTTGCTATTCTAGTATTTTGCCTTAAAAAATCGCAAATCATTAAAAATATTTGTTTTAATATTGCACGGTCGGTGAATTGTTTGGTTGACCAACGTCTCATCTTGCATGCTAAAAAATTACTTTGTGGATCTTACCCTTCACCAAGATTCTCTTATTACAAAGTCATTTCGAAACTAGTCTATCCCTGGCACTTAAGTGACCTATAATTTAGAATTCATTTAATTCTTGTAAAGCCTTTTTTAACAAAAACAAAAAGGATAAAACAACCCTGCATATTTTGTTACTATAACCTTACTTTTCTGTGGCCGGATATCACTTCTATAACCTTACGATAGATAATCAACATAAACTTCAAATTCATCTATCATTAATGGTGAATAACGGATAAAGAGTGTGGTACTACAAATATGCATTTCATAACTATAAACAACTTTTTGCAAAGGATCGACATTCACTTCAAATTCACCAATTAAAAACCTTGTACATAATCTTAGTACCATACGAGGGTCATTGGAGAATCCAAATATCATCGCATCTCCATAAAAAGGAGGTCCTAACAACAAGGCCACCTCGGCCTAAAGACAAAAATAAGGCCATCATTCTCAATCATCCTAAAAATCCACGACGCAAATCTATAAAACCAAATCTGAAGAATAAGATCGAACCAAATATACATATAGCCTCTCACACCGGCCAAGACATAAATACACACACAAGAGGCGTCAAAATCCCATATATCAATCCCTGTTGATTGGAGGTCTCTGGGCACCGGGGGGTGCTGTTGGCCTAGGGTAGTCCACGTAAGAGCCTGCAAATTGAGGGGCCTCCACATAGGGACTCTGCATTACCAAATGAAAAGAGCAAAGCCGGAAAAATCAATATTATGAGGTTAAGATTGTTTACACCATCATTGTTCAGATGTATTTGAAGAAGTCATTTTAGATTTATTCCATAAATTTGAGTTGGTATCTTGCATTTTCAAGCATGCAAAACACTAGGATAAAAGATATTATACCATATCGTAATTTCATATTTGGTGCAAGATTTGAACTTTCTTTAATATGTACACACACATACAAGCCCTATTTTATAGAAATGATCAAAATTAACAATTTAAAGATGTGAAATTCAGTAATTTGTACAAGAAATTTAACAAAAGGACAGTCCTGTGCTCTAGGCTTCTTGATTGCAAACCAATCTTTGGCATCTATGTCAACTATATCAAAAATAAATAAATAAACAACATATAGACAAGATGTTTTGATGAAAGTAAGGGTCTCATAAATTTCCCCTAATTTGTATGAAGAATGACACAAGTAAATGGTAATGAATGTACCTGAGGCACAGAGGCAGTCATTGATGAAAAATCAGTACTTGAACTTCTTTGAGATGTACCAGGAGAACAAGAGTCACTGCTTGGTTCACTACCATTCAATTTATGTATTCCAGGTTTATTTGGTACATTTTCACTCTCATTTCCATCGGCTGACTTCACTCCCTACATTTCAAGAACATTTTCAAGATTATTTCAAAACCACTAAGTAGCTTAACCCTACATCCAAATTGAGCATATGAAAAAATTCATCAGAAAGAAGCTATAAATCAGAGACAAGGAATTGGTAAAAGAAATACCTGAAAGATTTTACCAAGAGTTTTCAACCCCTTGGCTCGTGCACGGAGTTCTTCTTTTCTGACGTTATTGTCTTGGAGAACCTATAGTAGAGCACAGATCATCTAAATTAAACTCAGGATTCAACCCTGTATTAGGCCAGGTAAAGTTGTGATAACGGAGTAGTGAAAACAACCATTTGACAGACACGAGATAGAGTAGCCTCAATGTCAGCTACATTAAGCTTCCACAATGAGTCGATCATTAATTTCTTGTGGGATTGCATGTATTCTTCAAGTTCTTCTTCAGTGTAGTTCCCTTCTTGACTTAGCTGCTTCTTCATATCCTCCTGCAGCTGGATCAGAGCAATGGCCCCTGAACCACATGAAGGAAATAAATATATCAGCTTTTAGTCCATACTTCTTACACATAACAACTGATGTTTTATGACTAAGCACTTTGTCCAGCTATTTCATCTGAATCCAGAAGCAGAAAAATTTCACCTCTATTAATCTTTTTTCATACACAATAAGAATATTTCTTCAATTACTACATTGTCAATTAATTTTGATAAGGTGAAATGGATTCATACTGAAGAGATGGTGTGGCCTATAATTTCTCCACAACCCAAACACAAAACAGCATGGAGCAGAGAAAAAAGAGAAGTCTTGGCTGTAAAAGACAGGAGAAAAAAATAGCATTATTTTTTCCACATGATTGTTGGGGAGCTCGAGAAAGAGAACTCACCTAATTCCTACACAAAATCTAGTTATGAGTTATGGCTTTGGGTCTATATTTTTATCTAAGACCAACTGTCTAGATGCAAGTAAATTATTTTTTTTTTTGGTTTTTTTTGGGGGGGGGGGGGAGCTGCCAAGGACAGCCCACCCCCTATCAAGGATTTAAAAGGGGAGGTGAAATTCAACTTCAGGTTGAAAAATCAACCAAGAATAAAACAAATTGCATGAAGGGTAGTGATGATAATAATACAGACAAACAAAAAATTGGAAGGAGCAAGTTCATGGGAAGAAAATTATAGAATTGCAAAATAATGACATGACATGAAGTAATGAAGGTTAATCAAGAGACTGAAATCCATAAACCATCATAACACAGCCAATAAATTTTTAAAGTGTTGAGGCCACTAAAATTTTCTGACCTGTAGCTGCTGTAACTTGGGATTTGATGAAGTGCCCTTTGTTTCTAAACCACTCAGCAATGAAAGGTACACCTAAATAAATTGCTTTCTTCCCCAGCTCTTTTGCCGCCTGCCTTGCATATATGTAGCCAATGGTATTCAACATATCAACGCCATAAGCTGTAGGATGAACACAAGAATTATTCAGCAAAGATCTCAGTGCATCAGCAAAGTATTTTGGAAGACACTCTCCAACAAATTTTATTAAATACATGACGTTTAGGCGACTTTTCCCATGTCATGTACAGTCAATATTTCCAAACACAGTTTGATTTCGGAAACAAAATATGATTTAATTCCAATCATTTGTAACAACCCTAGTCTGATATTTGCAATGAAAAGAGACCATTCAAATATGCAGCCACCTTGAATTCTTGACATGTCACTCGAAGCCACATCATTTGTTAACCCATTGAATTCCCAGTAATTTTGGAAGAACGATTAGGCCATGGTACCTGCATTGGATAGTCGTGACACTTCATCCTTTGCATGATTGATGAATTCCGATTTGTTTCCTTGGACATATTGGTTTAGTCTGTTTTTAAGTATCTCTGCAAGCTTTTCTTCTCTCTCTTTCTGAACCACCTGAAGGAAGAAGGAATCTGTCAAAACACCCAGTGAATATAAAAAATGCCCATGCTTACATAATGCTGAAGTTCCAATAAGAATAGCAGTTAACAAAGAGAATTTAGCAGCTATAAATCTAGCTTAAAGCTATTCCTCATAAATCTAGATACCAACTTAAACTGCACAATAAATTCTACTCATCCATGCAAGTAGACACATCCATTATGTATCCCTATAACTATGAGAAGGCATCAAATATTCTTATCTTCAGCACATCCAATGGAATCATAAAATCTCCAAAATTTGCCACCACAACTATTCCTGCAAGAAGTTTATGGGGCAATACTTGAGGTTTGTTGCTCAGAGGGTGTTTAGTCAAGTTTGTTGAATAAAAATGGTTCAAATGCCGCTCAACTGATAGACCAACACTAGAGCCATTATGCACGTATAGGCATACAGCACGAGGTTCAAATGTGCAAGACAAGCGGGAAGCAATGGCGAGGTATCTGACCAGGTCAAAAGTCAATGGGACAAAATTTAAGTAAATATGTCTCAGGCCACTATTTCTATTTGTTTGCAATAAGTCAAGCTAAAGGGTGATAAAACTTCTTCCTATAACACAATAGGAGTACAAAACAAGAAAAATTTTATTACTCATATAGATTCGTCACCACAGCATAAAAGATGTAAGCGATCACCTAAAAGCAGTCATGATGTCAAATGATGAGAAAGAGTATAACTATATACCCTCATTTTCTCTTGTAACTTTTTCGCATCAAATTGTTCCCCTTCACTAAAGATATCCATTGATGCCATTGATGCCATGGCTAATTGGCCGATGTAGTCCTCAAAAAGCTCACTGCCAAAAAGCATGGCGAAGATTGCTGCTGGATCAATAATAGCATCACTGCAATAAGAGGAACAAAGCAGTTCAGAATCAGCAGAGGACCAAAAATGTGGCACACCTTATGAATATTAGTATCCCACACTTCATTCATCGGTTAAGAATTAAATTAAAATGGAAACTAACGTTGAGATTCCAGATTTTCCATGAGTATCATAAGCTTGCCGTTGGTGAGGGTCACTCAAAACCTGATAAGCCTCACCCAAAACCTAAAACCAGATTAGTAACACCAGAATATCATTAGTTGCAACAGAGGTTGATTAACAAAAGCACAATCCAGGCTACACAAATTGATGAAAGAATAGTATAAACAGCCAAACATTAAATTGAGAGAAAAATAGCATGAATTCAGCATTGAAGAATATAACATATTTAGTTGAAGCAATACTCACACCTCTCTAAACTGGGCCATTTAGCAATAGGAAACAACAGGGAAACAAAAATTCATTCACATCAAAACATTTAGGCTATGCTGTTTAATGCCAGCAACGATTCAACACTGACAGACCACAAAGTCTAATATTAATGTTGGTGCCGAAGTAGGCCCATAGGGCCCAAACCTTTTTTCGGTTTATTAGAATATTTGTATTAAGTTTTATTTCTTTTATCATTTATTAGCATGAATTCAAACAAACATCTTTCCACCTCACCTCTAGATCTTAATCTAAAAATTTTCTAAAGTAGTGAAGCTTCTCGAAAGGAGAAACTAATAATTAAACTTTGTGAAGTATGCACCAGGTATAATTCTGACATGAAACTCTAAGACATTTACGCATTGGTTGACCCGATCATCAAGCTGAAATCTCAAGTGCAAATGAATGCTACAATGAAAAAGAATATGTTTATCAACAGTTATAGTGTTCGGATGGTCAATCTTGGTAGGAAAAATTGTAGGTGAAACAATAAATACTCCCTAACCTTTCTCAACAGATATTAAGTGTTTTTTTCATGGTTTCTTGTTATTATCATCAAGTTACAGGAAATCCATATCATATGGCATTAATAACTCTTCAACACGTCCATGATTTAACGCTCTATTAGGTCTAAGCTCAATTATCAAACTGGACTATTTGGCTAATGATCGAAGTTGACATCTTGTACAACTAAAGGCGCACCCAGCATCATTATGCAATATAAAAAGAAAAGACAGAGGCAGGATAATGGTGGTGAAAAAAGAGAGGCTTTCATCCCGCATTTTCCATTAGAGCTTTAAAATTTTTAATTACAAGTTCTTTGAACCCTCCATATGTGAATTCTTTTCCACAATCCAGTTAACCAATTCGCCAAGGCAGAAGTAACATGTTTCCTATCACTCCAACTCATGACACGCACATATTTCTAACCACGGAAAGGATTTACCGCACAAATCCTTGAAAGCTATAGGTTTGAAATAAAAAGTAGCAGTCTTGCCTGAAATTTTTCTGCTGCGTTAGGGTCATTTGGGTTTTTATCTGGATGGACTTGTCGCGCCTGCAAGCTCAGGACAAATGGAATTCAATAACATAAGAGATACAAATATAAATATACACGGATCTACAGAAGTTTTACTTATGTTGCAGATTATGTAACTCTAAGTAATCCAGAATATTGCAGAAGGGAATCAGCTTATTCGTAGCAACGTAAAGGATCGACATGACAGAGTCTCACCTTCATGTAATAAGCTTTTTTAATCTCGGCCTCAGTTGCCGTGGGACTGACTCCCAGCACGTCATAGTATTCGGTCTCCTTCACCATCTCAAGGTGGGTGATTGATATTCCCCTGAGAGAAAACGCCGGGAGTGATCAGATCTTCACCGGTCAGGTGAAAAATGATAGGAGGCAGAAAAGAAGACAAACAGAAATACACAAATCAGAGCAGGCAACACGAATTAGATTCCTGGTCCGTACCCACCACACCCAAAATCACAATCCGGAAGCCGCTGGCGTTGACTGCGCCAATCGCGTAATTTGTTTGAACTATGATGCGAAGTATATCGGAATTTTCACCACCTTCACCGTCGGGTCAAAATTTTCAAAGCAACTTTTTAAGAGTAAAGGCCTTTCCCGGTTTGCTTGTGCATTGTGTTTTACAAAGATTTGGGGTCAAATGCTCGACACCGAATGGTGAGTCGTCTTCCCTTTTTCCTGTTGTTCGAACACTCCTAGAAGACCCCGACAAGTTTCATCGCCTCTGAATCATCATCACATCGACACGGTGTATTTTGTAATCTTGTGGCTCGGAACAGATCGGCTTGGCCTCCAGCAAGTACTACTTCCACTATGGATTTGGACAAGGAGCCTTCTCTTCGTTGGAAAGGAGAAGATAAGGGCGTGTTTGGACGGATACTATTGCTCCGTCTCTTGTTATAAGATCTTTTTAATTAAATTATACGATTAAAGAAAATAGTTAAAATTAGTTAAGAGTAATTAATATATAAAAAATATAATTTTTTTCAAATATACCCCTATATATAAATAGATAAATGTGAGCGAGTAATAATAAAATAAATGAAAAAAAAGAATGTATTAAATGTATTAAATTATGAGCAAAATAAGTAATAATGTATTAAATGCTCAGACAAACTCAAAGAAGATCTTATGAAAAGGGACACATCTATTTAAAAAATTACATCTTATAATAAGTAACGGAGAGAGTACAAGAATGTGAATCTAATCTGCTTTTGTTAAATTCCTTATTTGCTTAGCCAAACAAGAGAGAGAGAGATTTTGACCAGCAACTTGATAAAATGCTTTGAGTTGATTAGATGTTCGTTTCCGTGTATAGACTATAGAGTTTGAAAATCAGGTTGTATTATTTTTCATACAAAGTTAGTTATATTATTTATAATTTATAATTTATCATTGACATAATGTGTAGTATTGAAATTAACAAAATAAAATTTGTTCTCATTAAATCCATGGAATATGGATTGATAGGTGATAGAATGGACGCGTGGAAATATTTTAAACAAGATACAATATTATTATAAGTTACTCTTTTTTCACTTTCGTTTGGTCTAAGAGTGACATTGTTAAAATAATAATAATAATAATAGGTCATTTTCTTACCTTGGCTGTATTAGTTTTAATTCTGAATAATTGCCGATAACTTGGATATCTCCTATTATTACGCTCTCGGGTAATAGAAACCGCGTATGAATTTTAATTGAGCCCCCATTAAGTATTCGATATACGTGGTTTAGGGAGTGGGATTTTTTATTTCAGTCCAGAAATAAGAAGGTTTTGGTAGGGCTGCACATGTAGGACTGGGCAGGGCGGGACCCTTGCCTGATGCCTAGCCCGAAGAATGAACGGGCTGGCAAATGCAGCCCGTTGCCCAGCCCTACCCATGAAAAGCCCTAATAAATTTGGGCTGGGCAAATGCGGGTTAGGCAGGGCAGGCTTCTATACCCAACAAGTCAGTATACTATATTAATTAACTAATTATTTATATCCTTCTAAATAATCTAATGTAACTTTATTAAAATGGAAACTTGACCTTAATTTTGTTATTACTAATTAATATACTATGAAACTACTTTTTGTAGTAGCTAAGAGGAGTGGACTATGACAAAAAATGTTGTTAGTATATTTTATTAAACTTAATTATTTTTCTAGTTTCTAACTCTCAAAATCATTTAAAAATAAATAAGTATAATGAATACTGAATATTGATACAACAATGCGTTTGATTTAGGAAATAAATATGAAGCAAATAAAATATATATAAATAAAATTGTATATATTTTTGCGGGCAGGGCCAAATGGGCAGGGCAGCATACCGTGCCCGATGCCCAGCCCTACCTAACAGTTTGCCTAGCTCGAACATACCCAATAGTTCTTTCGGGCCATTTTTTTTAGGACGGGCTGGGCATTTTTTTGCGGGCTTGGACGGGCATAGCGGGCTACTGGGCTTCATGAACACCCCTAGGTTTTGGTACTAGCTTTAGGTTTGTTTGGACTAGGGTTTAAAGATTAGGGTATGAGATTGGAATTGGGATTGAAGGCTTAAGATCTAAGATTCAGGAGTTAATTGTTAGGGGGTTAAGGGTTTAAGGTTTTCAAGTTAAGCTTTGCACGTGGGGTTTATATAGTTCATGACCTAGAATTTAAGATTATTAGCTAGGGTGTGGACCTAGATTTGAAGTTTTAAAATCACGCTTTCAAAAACAAAAAGTTTAAATTCAGAAATTATAACCTGAGAGAGTAACATAGGGTCTCAGACGTATGAATATTTGGTTCAGAGTTTATAGTCTGAAGTTTATAAACACATGTTTGGAATCCAAGGCCCATGATTTCAGATTAGGGTCTAAAGGTGAGGTTCATAGGCTCATAATATGATAAAGTTTAAAATTTTTTTACATGATTATATAATTGGGTGAGATTTTCAATCAAAATTAAAAAATAATTAATATTATAAGATAAATATCAAATTCACACGAAGCCATCTTATTCATAAATGAAAAGTAATGTGATTTAATTCGAGAAAATTATTTCACGTAAGTTCAATGCTATTTTTAATACAAACACAATAAAATTCAAACTAACCATTGTAAAAATAGAAATTCTATTTATGAGCCGTTAAATTTGTTGGTCTGAAAAATAAAAATTATAAATAGTGTATTTTTCACCTGCCCATAAATTTCTCAATACACACTGTCATACACATTCAATTTTTTAACCATATTCCTGAATAATGTTTTGTTCCTTCTTTCCTATATGGTAGCTTAGAAAGGAGCACAACGAAGCATGCACAATAGGCAGAAAATTTAGCGGTTGTGGCAGCAAAAGAGCAGAGGATAGCGACAGACAGGGACTACACCTCCTTCATAGTCGGTGAAGTTACTTGTTTTGTACCTTCATCCTCTACTTTCATTCTTGGAAAGGGAAGAAGGAAAAGATTTGAGATCCTCTATTTGTTTTTCTAGATTCAGAATCTATCCTCAAGGGCTCGAACATAGTTCCTTTTAGTGAAATGGGTCTCTGGGATTCTTTTCTCAACTGGCTCCGAAGGTAAGCTGTTTCTTGCTGTCCCCTTTCCGTTTACTGATTAGTCTTTTATGTTGCTTTTCTTCCTTTTGTGGCTTTGCCGGAAAAAACTCCTGTTACCACAATGGAATGTTATTCCCACTTCCTTGGTTGCTTTTTTCTATGTTACTATTTCAAGGTGGTTTGCTAGCTTAGCTTGTTAGTGAGAACCCATATCACCAATATGCGCTGTGACAAAGAAAGCTTTTGTTTTGTCCAAGAGGATCAAATTATATCCTTTCTTGTAAGTTGTCCAATTGTCGTAAAGTTGATTAAATCTAAACCTATAGAATTAAACACTAAAATGATATAATTGTAAGAGGCCTGAGTTCTATATCAGCTTCTGCATTTTGAACATCCATTCAAGTTCCCGTATTACAGTGGACTTTGAACAACATCCTCTCAACTTTCCATCTACCCACCCACCCACCCACCTAGGGTTAATTTTCTACATATTTGTGTCAGTTTATATTTTAAGCAGGAGATGGAACTGTCTCTGGTAGGCCTTCAGAATGCAGGGAAGACATCACTTGTCAATGCAATTGCTGTGAGTCAGCGCAAATCCTGATTTTGTTTTACTGCTTACTGATAAATAACCAATATTTTGACATCATTGGTTTGATCATTTTTACCAGACAGGGGGATACAGTGAGGACATGATTCCAACTGTACGTATTTCTTCCTTTTGATTAAAATTTTTCTAACATATTTGAACATTGCACAATAAAAACTTTTTTTTTTTCGTTGCTATGAAACCCAGATAGGGTTCAACATGAGGAAAGTGAAAAAGGGAAATGTGACAATAAAGCTTTGGGACCTTGGAGGGCAGAGGAGATTCCGAACAATGTGGGAGCGTTACTGTCGGGGTGTCTCTGCCATACTGTACTTCCCATCTCTAAATATTCTCTCTTTATGGCCTTACAGAAACACATACAGGATGTCAATATACAAAGACATATAAGTTTTGCTTCAACTTTGATGGCTTAGTCTTAAAACTCGAGCACTATCGGCAGGCCAATTGCATGTGAATTTAGGTTGGAAAAAAATGGGCATGACTTGTTCATACTTGTGTACAGTACCCTTTCTCTGTTTTTTCAACTGATAGAATTGAAAAACAGGTATGTGGTAGATGCTGCTGATAGGGACAGCATTCCGATATCTAAAAGTGAGTTACATGACCTCCTCATGAGACCTTCTTTGATTGGGATTCCTTTGCTTGTTCTTGGCAACAAAATTGACAAGTCAGAGGCACTATCTAACCAAGCGTTAGTAGATAAACTGTGAGTTAAAAACTTGAAGAACTTGTTCCGTTCACCGTTGCTCTCTTCAGTTTCCATATCTTGCAAATATTTATATCTGAAAGGTTCTATGGATTTTCATCTTGAACATTTCAGAGGACTCGAATCCATCAAAGACAGAGAAGTCTGCTGCTACATGATTTCATGTAAGGATTCCACAAACATCGATGTTGTCATTAACTGGCTTATCAAACACTCCAGAACTGTAAAATGATTCCTGTTTTTTTTGTTTTTTGGTGTCATTAAGAATTTGGATGTATCTGTTGGATATGGTTTGTTGTCCAGTAAAAATTCCCGTAAAGTTACCAGTTGGCGACTGTATTTCATGCGTTGTTCTCAGATGTACCAATAAATGGATGACATCATCCACCTGGTCTCTTCTCTTCGAAATGATTCTGGTGTTTACTGATGAGCCAAGTGATGATTAATAAAGACAAGTATTTAAAGACGGGCTGAAAAGCTGAGACAAAGTGCTATTTTAAAGACTAATCTTTATTGGTGATCATCCCTTCGTTTTTAATTACAACATGCAATTGCTTACATGATAAGATTTTGATTATCTAAAAACTGATTACAATATGCCCCCTCACTATTAACTCCATTGTTCAAAGCTTGCTGGTGACATTAACGGTTCGCACTTTAGGCGACTTTGGAGCATCTTTAGGAACTATTACAGTGAGAACTCCATTTTCCACCTGTGCCTTAATCTGATCAACCTTGACATTTTCTGGCAATTCAATTGCGCGAGAAAACTCACCCTTACCTGTCCCCCTCTCAGCCACATGCCAAACAGAGTCTTTCGCTTGATGGTCCTCTTTCCCACCTTCACTTTTGATATGCAAAATATTCCCATCCTCAATTTCCACCTTTATGTCATCTTTGGTGAACCCTGGTCCCAAATTAAAAAAAATTAAATTTCACAAGTTATTATTCTGTTGAATCCAAACCAACCCCCTCAACATTCTAATACATCTGATAAAATTGAAGAGTGTGTGATTGATGATAGATACCTGGCACGTTAATTTTCAAGACATGGGCAGACGGAGATTCAAGCCAATCCATGAGAGCCGTTGATCCTGACCATTCTCGGAAAATCGGAGGGCTCCAGAAGAAGCGCCTGAAAGGGGAGCCGAATAAGCCGTCGGCCATCGCTGAACCCTACAAAAGCTGAAGATGGTAAAGTTGGATTGAGGAAGAAAGCTCAAGCACTGGGGAAATTCAGTGAGTTCAGGGTTTTATAGGAGTTATCGCGACTATCCAGAATGTTCCCGGCATCTTATCTAATGCAGGGCATCGTGCAAAGAAGACGCTGGTCCAGGATGATTCAGGAATCTGGATGAGCCATCGAGAGAGAAATTTGAACCAGGCCAGTTTAGTGGGCTTAATTTGATTTACAGTTTTGGGTTTTATTCATTGTGTCGGGCTTCGATAATCACACGATATCTGGGAATAAGTTTGGGTATTGGCCTGCTAACCTTTTTTAATTGATTTTGTTTATAAATAGTTTATTGCCAGTTTATTTTTGGTAACTTAGTTTTTTTTTATAACTGTGTGATATTATCTGATTATCCATCCAAATTCAAGTGTTTTTCTTAATCTTGAATAGAAAGATATTTCATAATTAGATTTTGAATTTTATCCACTTTACCTAATTATTGTTGGTCAAATTTAATATTTTATTTATGTAATATTATTTTCTATTCGAGGCACTTAATTTTAGACCATGACACTTAATGACGTTGTTCAGAATAAGGAAATAGAAAGAATCGTACTGAAGGACCAAATTTCCAAATTAATTATCAAGAACACTTTTAAATTTACCTCTCGTATAATGTAAATTTATTTGTTGAAGTACAATTATTTACCATCCACATAATGTAAATTTATAAATAGAATTATAAGTATTTGTCATCAGTGGTATTCAGGAACAAAATATTTGTGCATTTAGTCCTTAGACATAAGTCTCCCAAAAATATAAGAGATCATGTAAGAAACAATTATTGTGGTTAATTTTCACTGGAATTTAAATCTTATGCTTTGGATCCATTGATTAACAAGTGCTCAATTTCATAATTATGTCTCAGACTCTCAGTTCAAGGTTAAATTGGGTTTTCATTGTTTATTTCATTCAAGTTTACTCAAGTTTCCACGTCATATGGTACATGGAGACAATAAGGAAGGGAAAAAAAGAAAAAAGAAAAGAAGAAAATCAGAAACTTTCGGGTATGAAAGTAAAAAGAAGAATGAAAAGAACACGCCAACACAACCCGACTTTTTCTGGGTTATCAGAAAAATGGCAACAACAAAAAAACTTAAAAAGGTGTCTGGATATCCCAATAATTATTTTTCAGAAGTATTTTTTATAAATCGTGAAAAATTCTTTTACATATTTATTTTGTATACTGTAAAAGTATTCATGAAATTATGGTTTTGATCTTATCCAAATATTTTTTATTCATTCTAACTTTTTTCACATCATCTTTGGCAGAAAACGAAAACCTTTTCCACATCATCCAAAACACAGCACGGGCACTTTTTTTTGGGGAGGGGGGGGGTCCGGTACTTTGCCTGCCTGGGGTTTGAATAACTAGTGTCTGGTGAGATAGTACCATAGTGACAAAATTATGGGGAAACACGAAAATCTGTGTAAATGTGTGATTGCTTAATTGTGAAGCTTTGGATATATTGGCATCCATCTGGAGGCCAAACCCCAGATTCCATTCAGTGACGTTTGACTTAAAACTAAAAGGGCTCAACACAGGGAAGGAGCAAATCAAAAGTAGTGACATAAGCTTTCAACCAGAACAGTGCATGTTCTTTTTTTTTTTCCAAGGTACTCTTGTGGGTCAATAGCAGCTCTAGTGGATTCAATTAGAATGTCCTGTCTCTGGCTTTGTTATCCACTAAGCACTAACAATTCATGAGTTTGATTGGACAAAAATGTATGCTGAGACTTCCCATCATGCTGTTCTGTTCCTAAATTTAGTGCATTTGCGCATCAGACATTCCGGAACTTGTCCTCTGAAAAATGGTCTTGTTATAAAAGAAAACAGTTACAAGAAAATAACAACAAAAAGAATATAACAGTTAGGTTTCTTTTCAAGAAAATTAACAACAATCAAATTCCTGATAAGTTATTTATTAAAAAACAAGTTGCAAGTTTTGTTAGAAGAATTACTATGAGATCATAAAAAAGAAATATGATTATAAAAAATTCTCAATAACAAATAAGCAGTTAAAACTTGTTAACATTTTCTGCTCTTAACTTACATACGACTCAATTATTATGAGAGTTTTTATAATAAATATATACATTTTTTTGATAATCTTATAGTAATTCATCCAATTTCCTTTACGTAGCCTTTCAAAATGCAAGTATTTCACTATTCAAAACAAAATCATTTCCATATCATACTTCTTTAATTTGATATCATATAAAATTATATCATTAATTCACAACCTCGCATTTAGGTTGGATGAAAAACTAGAAAAATAGTTTTTTCTGAAAAGAACGAAAGAAAGAAGCTTTAGATAAAGTTGTGTTTAGAAAGCAAAAGCAGAATCATATGAAAATTCAGTGTCCCAGAAAAGTTGAGGAGAGGTGCATATACCAATGATACACGATAGAGGGAGAATATTATTATGACTTTATAATATAAGCTTCATGCAGCTTTACAATTAAAGAATATTACTGTAATATCATATAATGCACAAAGATAACACACCGCTTTGTTAAAAGCGAAGGGAGAGCAAATCATAGAATCTTTTGATCTCTCCCTTTCACTTTTCTTCCTTCTTCGCATTCATTTCAACAAGTGCCTCCATGATCTCTTCAATCCCTCTTTTGAACACATATTTTTTAAATAAAAAAATTGACAAAGGTAATTTAAAAAAAGAAAAGGAGCCACCAAAAGCAAGCTCTAATGGAGGACAGAGGCTGATAGTTGGGCACTTCAACAATCTTTGATTGTTTCTTTATTCTTACTTACCTGCATGGGAAATAATTAAACCAACAAGACCGGAAAAAAAAAGTCAGTGGAATGCTATATCACTTTTAAAAAAAATTAGAAAATAAGAAGAAAATGGGAAGAGAAATTGTGAAATAATGAGTATAATTACCACGATCTTCACAGAGCTTCCTCAAGAAAGCGAGGAAGATAATAAGAATGGCCACTCCTGCTAATAATCCTATGATTATTGCAAATGTCTTCTCTCCTTCTTCATTCGATTTCTCTGCATCACGATTCAGTGTTTGACACATCAACATATCTCAAACCATCTAATACATAGTCTTTTTACACGTGTGTGTGATGCACCCCTTGAGGATGAACACGTCCACAGGTTACAAAAACCACTCAATTACTAAGAAATAAGACCCCGTTTGGTTCGTATGTAGAATAGGATGAAACGGAACGAAAAGTGAACCATATTCGAAAACGTCGTGCTGTGAGACCAGGGGGGGAAAAATGACCCAAACAGTTCATTGCTTTTGGTAAACTCTCTTGTGGTCACACTCAACATTATTTACAAATTTTTTTCTTATTATTATTTTTACAGCAATACACAGCATAATATTTCACTTCACACCCCACCACCACAAGTTCTGCTGGATCAAACGAAGAGGAATGGGAGGAAAAGGAAGGGGACTTGGAGATGTGGGGTGATTAAATGGGCCTTACCATGGGCCTTGGAGTACCCGTGGGACCCACCGGTGGAGTATCTCGCGTAGCACTTGGCGAAGAACATGTCCCCGTAATCCGCTGTCCCACAATCGCTTCTCAGCCGTCCGATCGCCTCTCCAAGGCAATCCTGACACTCCCCGGAGCTCAGATCCCCCGTACACTGGGCCATGCCACGGACCTTACCCGATCCCCCCAGCCGGAACGGACCGCTCGAACCCGCCAGACCCGTGAGGACCGCGTCCCTGCTCGACATGGCGTCCGAGTTGTACCCGACGGAGGGCCCGCATTTCTTCAGCACCACCGTCTTGTCCTCCACGCCTAAGAACGTGACGTTGTCGTACTTGACGTAGCAGCCCTCGAGCTGAACGGCCCCGCCGCAACGCTGCTCGCAGAGAACGCCGGCACGAGTGACTGCACGGGCGACGCAGGAGGCGCAGTCGGGCATGGAGAGGTCGCCGCGGCATTGGTAGAGGCCGTAGACGACGTCCGGGGCGCTAGAGCCGATGATGGTGAAGTTGTTATAGGCGGAGTAAGTGGCCGAGTTGACGAGGGAGGTGAGTAGCGAGTCAAGGTTCGACTCGTAGGCGGAGTTGGGAGTGAACTGCTGCTGGGTACACCCACCGTAGAGGAAGGAGTCCGTGGAGGCTGAGACTGAAGAGTTAGGTAAGAAGCAGACAATAACGGTAATAACGAGGAAGAAGATGGAAAAGGGTGAGAAGAAAGTGCTTGTTTGGGCCATTAATACGTACATGTGTGTTTTTTTCAGTGTGTGTTTATGTTGGGTAAAGAAAGGCGGATGGGAACTAAGTAAAAGGAGGAGAATATGAGAGAGAGACTAATGTCTTGGTGAGGTTGGAGGCAGATTTCATGGAGAAATATTGCAAGGTGGAGAAGGAGGACCCCTGAGCTTGTTTAAGGAGTTGCTTTATATAAGCAAATCCCATGGCGAGCCCATTTCATGTAAATGATTAAAAAACTTCCCCACACATTGTGGGGTCTCTTTCTTTTTCCTCTTTTTCTTGAAAATTGATATATTATCTTTTCAAACAAAAAGCCTGAGTTTTTTCCCACGGAAATAGAACAATATACACATATAAGAGATTTACTATGTCTATATAATCTGATTTGGGTTAGATGTATGAAGTAGTCTGAGGTCAATTTTGCTTTCAATAACTGATTACTATATTTTCTTTATAAACAGTAAAAGTAAGTCTATTGTGTTGTGTATTATTTTTGAACGTGATCATGCCAGAGCAAACACTGAACTGTTGTTGATTTTTTTTTTTTTTTTCATGTGGTATATATCAATTATCAAATGAAACTTTATAATTCAGTGAAAACTTAGAACCTTGGCGGTTAAGATAAAGTTGTGAGGAAAGTAAGAAGGAAGTCAATAGCTAGCAAGCAAACTTCTGCTGTTTCTCTTTTCTCTGCAACAATCACTTTAACATGCTCCACAATGCGAGTCTAGAGTTATCTATATCTCTTTAACCTTCGTGAGTTGATATTCATTATTGAAAAATATCATTATGGGAAGGAGGCTTTACGGCCTACCCAAGCTAAAGTTCTCGAGAGTTGCAAAAGAGCCTTCCAATTTTTCTGAGACGATATATATATATAACAACTTTTGTTAGGCATTAAAAGAGAGGCAAACAACTTTTATCTAGTTAAATAAAGCATCACTAAGGGATGTTTGGGTAATTTCAGAATCACTTTTCAGAAGCATTTTTTTTGCAAATCTAGATAAACTCTTCCATATTTACTTCATATACTGTAAAAGCACTTTTAAAACCATAATTTTGTTCTTACCCAAACACCTGTAAGTCCTGGCTTAAGACTAGAGCCATGCCACATTGACCCAAAGTAATCGACTTTTTTTCACCCAAAAAAAAAACCTTTTGTGACGAATGGGACAGGGAACTAGAATCCTATGATAAACTTTCTCCTATAATTTTCCTGTTAGACTTCACAAATTTTCCCAAACGATAGAATCAAAAGAGCTCAAAATGCAAAAACACAATCATGTGAGTTCAGAAAACAAGAAGACAGATACAGTGAAGAAACTTATCCATTGTAATCCATTGTAAAGACTGGAAGCAGAAATCTAGGTGGTCCGGTCATGAATCTGCAGAACTCATCGGAGCCCTAGCTTGGGGGGGGAAAAAAAACTGTTTCTATATATATATATATATATATATATATATATACATCGGCTCAATAATTACAACATGGAATCTATATATGGATTGAAAAAGCAAGCAAAATGGTGAGCCTAAGATAAGACTCCATCACTTTGCTGATTCAGGAGAGAAAACACTTTTTGAATGAAGACAGAACAAGACAACTGTGATAACGCACTACGCCTACCTTCCTCGTCACCCTCACCTTTGAGAACCCCTAAAATTTTCCGCTCCTGAACCAACCTTGCATCATCATTTATATGGCCTTATTGTGTAAATGTACAGACATATTGGTTCAATATCACAGACAACATAATTCAACTGATTCACTCTTCAAGCTGGTTTGATTTCCAAGTTATATAAGGATGTGAACTTGAACAGCAAGAAAAGTGGGGGAACCAGAATTATTAGTGTTGGAACTGAAGTATATGGTCACGGGAATGCTTACAGTTGAAGTTTTTTTAAGTCATAAACGATTTTACTGCGGAATTTTACTGTTTTCTTCCATTTCTATCAATGTTGCAGTTTGAAAATTACATAGGTAACTCAAAGGATCATCATATATATGTGTGTGTGATCCAGTGAGGTTCTGAATATCCAAATCATAGATAAAAACACACAAGAAAGAACTTTACTTGGTACTGTTTCTGAACTCAAAGCGTGAAATTAAGTATCATGTTGAAGACTTAAGAGTAGGCTCAAGGAGATGTGATGGGTATAGGAAAGGGGCAGACATGTTGAAGCAGAAGACAGTTGAGATTTAATGCGCAGAGATTTTGCTCTCACAAGAGATCAAGACCAGATTTGTGGTCAATTTTGATGTTTCATTTTCTCTCGTAATTTGTTCTCTGTTGGTCTACTGCATATGGATACTTAGCCACATGCGGGAAGTGGAGAGGAAGAACTGAAGAAGAGTGACTCTCTGTCAAAAAAGCAGTGAGAGACAGAAGGGGAAAGTGTTACTTTCAGGTTTGTCTTAATGAATTTATGATGCCTTGTCCTTGTAACATGCATGTTGGGCTATATGCTGGCCTTTTATGTTCGGGCAATGTCAATGCCACGCACTAAATTTGTGTTATAATTTCAAAAAGTTTGACCCTAAAACGTCAGAGGAGGTTTATTCACAAATGTGAAAAATCATCATACCTGCAATGTGCATTGCACAGCGATATTTAAAGACCAAAAACTGCTCAGTTTTAGAAAACCATGCAATAGTGAACAAGAAGCCTTCCATATGACCTGTACATTTTAAAATTAAAATTCCATATTGAGGAAAAACAGAGAACATCGTTTACACATTATAGTCCATAATTGTGGGAAGTCCGAAAGATATATAGGGTAGACTAGACGCAATAGTTAGATAGCAAGCAAAAGCAAATTGTGCAATGTGACCTGTGAGGCTGAAAGGGTCAAATTGTGGCTTGTGGCTTAACTTAAGGCCTTACGCAAACACAATTGCCCATAATACTTGACAATAGTGTTGGGCCTTTAGTTTCTGGGCGAGCCTCCTTCAAAGAGACCAGTAAATAAAAAGAGAATTACTGTGAGATAAAAAAAAATAATTATTAAAAAAAATCCCAATAACAAGTGAGTGGTTGAAATATGTTGTCAATTCTTGCTCTGAAACTTGTCATTACAAGCTATTTAATTGCTATAATACTTTTTAATGAACGTCCCTTCTTTAAAATCTTATTGCAATTCTCCCATAAATAAATAGTTATCTTAATAGTTAATGATCCATTTATTATGTCATGACATCTGTTTTGAATATATTGTTTATTTGAGGAGCTGAGAGCATTTTCTCTTTTCTCCTGAGAGGGGATACCAATAAGAAAACAGACAAGGTAGAAAACATTTTTGAGTGGACTTGTAGTTGCACGCAGAACCAAAAGTGGCAAATCAAGAGAAGTTTAGCGAGGCATAACGACGCCAATGGGTTGAACAGGTTTCTAAAGTCCAACCACTTCCATGCACTTACTGGGTCAATTACAGTGAAGAAGCTTATCCAAAAGTTAGAAAACATCCTTGAGTGGACTCGTAGTTGCACGCAGAACCAAAAGAGGCAAATCAAGTTACAAGAGAAGCTTAGCGAGGCATAACAAGGCCGATGAGCTGACCAGGTTTCTGAAGTCCAACCACTTCCATGCACTTACTGGGTCAATTACAGCGCCGTCAACAAGTTGCGGGTTCTTTTTTCCCCACCCACAGCACATTCTCGAGCTGAAGGTACCAAACTTGAAAACTAACAGTAACTTGGGGAACAGGTACATTGAACGTAAAATTGTTTATACAAATGGAATTGACAATTCCCTTCCCTACTAATTCCGCAGCTGATTTCCTTCCAGGCAAAGCCAAAAAAAAAAAAGCAGCTCTATCCATCCCCTCCACGAAACTCACTTATTTACAACTCATATTTGAATTGTGACACAGCTTTGAGACGATCGACGAGTCTGTCTAATGCATCTTTCATCCACCAATGCCTACAAACTTGTCTTGCCTCTGCCACGCTCATCTACACAAACCGTAACAAATTCAATCAAAGTTGTCTCATTCACAGTTCAGAAAACAGTTTAATTAGGATAATCCCAATTGAAATCAAGTTCCCAGTTCATACCCATATTCTTTCACGGACGTTTTGCTCTGGCCAGAACTCTAGTTGTTCTTGAACCAGAAGAGGAAACATGTAGCCTTCATAGAATGAGTCATGAGTTTTGCTCTTGAAACTCCATTTCCCCAATTTACCCTGCTCCAAACAGAACATGACAATACAAAACACAGCATTTCAATTTGCTGAAATAGGGACCTTAATGGATATTATATTAATACGTGAAGGTAAGCATTTAGAGCAAATGGTGTTACCCCAACAATGCCTCGCACACCAGCTTCTTCTATGGTCTCTCGCAAAGCTGCCTCCTTTTTGGATTCGTCGAGTTCCCAGCCTCCCTGTTTTGGGTCAACCAAAGGGTATTTTTAATAAATAATAATTCATATAGATTCTATTATTGTGCTGTGCCTCTTTGGGTGTGCTTTATTGACTCATATTTCCCTTACCTTTGGAAATAGCATTCCATTGCCTTTCTGTGAACTGATAACCAGAACTTCTAATTCTAACTCTTCTGACTCCTTCAAACAAGCTTCTTCCCCGAATTTATATCTGTACGGTATACACCTGCATCATTATGTCGTAAGTACATCGGTTAGAAACTTCATAACCATTACCCTTCTTCCTTCAGTTTCTTATGTGTTCTAACAAAATGGTAAGAGAACCCAGGTTTCCCAGATAACAACAGGAACTAAAGAAACTAAAAAAGATCTTGTTTTTTCACAGAAAAAGACCATCCTCCCCCCCCCCGCCCCCGGAGTAAAGCTTGAAACTGTAATGGGAACCTTAGATTGTGTCGAGAGATCGTGTGAATGAGAGAAAGAGACGAACCCGACGACTTGACGACGGCCTTTTCTGTAACGCTGCAATTGCCGGCCGGTGCGAGAGACTAATGCAACAGCATTTTCTTGGGAAACCAAAGTCACCATTCTTGAGGGATCTGTGAAGAGAACTTGCAAAGAAACGAGAAACACAAGGGGACTGAAATTACAGAAGCAGAGAAAGCCAAGTGTTTTTAGTGTGTTGCGTGGGGATGATTGGCGAAGAAAATCACGATGATGGTGAACAAGCGAGGGAATTGGGATTGAAGAAAGGGAGAAAGAAAAGAAGCATATTTAAAGGGCTGGAGTGGGGGCGACGTCAGCTTCGAGGTAGACACGTGTGAATGACGTGTCACGTGAGTCCGTATGTGGCTGTCTCTATCGATCTCTAGCCTATTTGGGGTGGTGCCGCAAAGTCGAGCATTTTTTTCCCTTTCTGCGGAATTAAAAAAAAAATTTAAAGATTAAAAAAAAACTAGGAAAAATTGCAAACAAAGACCTCTTAATATGTAAACTTGCGATTTGGAACTCTCAATTTGAAAAATAGTAAATAAGAACTCGGTCCCACTTTTGCAAATATGAAATTGTGCTAAAATGTCTGAAATGCCCTTCAACCAAATGATAAGTTGACTATGGAAAATAACAAGTTCATTTTATCGAAAGACAACTTCAGTAGACCAAATCACAAGTTGGCTGAGGGTATGCCAAATGACGAGTTGACTATGAAAAATGACAAGTTCACTTTAACGAATGATAATTTCAGTAGACTAAATCACAATTTGGCTAAGCGATATTTTAAACATTTCACCTACACTTCATATTTACAAAGGCAGGATCTGATCCTTATTTACTATTTTCTAAATTTAGAATCCCAAATTGTAATTTTACATATTGGGAGCTCTTTATTTATAATTTTTTCAAAAAACTTAGAAGTTGTTGGGCAAAAAGAGGGAAAAACTGTAAAGCTTCTTTCAAAGACTAATTTACCAAGCTTATCCGAAAGAGGGGCTAAAAATAGCAAGGCTTATCTTAAAGGTTACTTTCACTCTTTCACTCTTCAGTGCATTGTACCTCTTGGAATTATCAGAGTTTTTCCTTATTAATTTATTATTTTATACAAGAAATAAAAGTTCGAAGATATTGAAAGTCAAACTTTTGGACAACAAGTGGTTATGGCACACTGTATTTGCTTCTTTTAATCCGATGAGCAGTGACTTTTATAAGATTCATGGAGGCCTAAGTTCAATTCATGTTCCTTGTCCTTTTAATTCTTTGTTCTTCTATGGAGCTTTCATATAATTAAAAAACGGAGTAATTTTAAAAAACCTTATGTTTTTATAGCAAAATATTCCGGAGTATTCATTTGATGTGAAACCTTATCTGTCAAAAAATGCGAAGGAATCAGGTCAAAAAATAGCAATAAACATCTTATCTATAATTTTTTTAAAAAAAAAAAAGCGATTAAATTGGATGAATGACATTATATTACGATGATTTTGAGGCTTCTAAATAAAAATACCTAATAAACTGCGTAGGCATTGGCCTTAATATTAGAATAAAATTATAACTATTAATTCGGTGGTATTTTCTTTTTTATTGGCCAAATAATTTAGGAGGTAGCATTTTATTGTATCACTTCAACAATTCTTTTTTATTTATTAGTACTCCCTCAAATCCTAAATATAATATCTTTTTTAGTTAAAACAATCTTATATTTAGGACTGAAAAAGTATCATTTAGTTAAAAATTAAAACCTTCAAAATCGTGCAATGTCATCAATCTTTAAAAGGGGTGTTGAGGAATGAATTAAATGTTATAGCAATTAATCGTGATGTAACTTTTAATAATTAAATTAATATCAAGCATGAATCTACAAGTCTTCAACTTTGCAACGCAAGCTAACCAAATTCAATTCTGAATTTAATAAGCACAACACATTAGATTCATGTCCCGTCCATTTTGTAGTACATTTTAATAGGTTAACTAAAAAAATGTGTGTATGGTCACCCACCAAAGAGCCCACCTTTCTAGAAATATTTATAAAAAAATAATTTTGGGTGGCAAAAAAAAAAAAAAAAGACTTCATTTTCAACTCTATCATATTATTGGTGAAGCGTGCATGTTGCTTTATGAGGTTGTCATATTTGGAATTTATTTTTTTATGTTATAAAATTAAAATGCTTAAATTATATTTTGAAATTTTGGACAAGAGTCCTTTAAAAATTTTATTAGTGAGAAAAATTCAAATCAAAATACTATATCAAAAATTTATAAAGTACTAATACTTTCTATATATAAAAATTTATCAGATCATATACCTTTTTTTTCCACCAGAAATCATGTATTACCTCCGGTCCTAATTATAAGAACTAGTTGACTAATTTGATGAGATTAAAGAAATAAGTTAAGTTAGTTATTTGTAACAAATAGGTGTTATCTTTCCTAAAATATCCTTACTAATAAAATATATTGACCAGAACTACCATTGTTAGAAAGATTACTTTAAAAAAAATACATAAATATGATAGATAAAGTGAATTGAGATCTTATGTTTAGAATCAAAATAAAAGTTACACAATATCTTATATTAATTAGGTAGTATTTCTTTTTAAGTTCTGTTATTTTGCTAAATGTGTGACTCGTGTTGAAACATGAATGGTGGAAAACTTGGAAGTGACTAAAATAATATTTGTAATCTAACCATGTCGGCCCAGCGTTGGTTTGTCTTTGAATTTTACGTGCTCTTTATTTTTATATGCTTTATTTGTGACATAATTTTAGGAAAAAATTATTGCTGCTGAGTTTCCTAGATGTTCTGTTCAATTGCTCATCATTGACTTTAATGTGGGAGCCTCGCCGAAATTTACTACTTTTTCCGCAGTTTTATATTTTAACTTATCACATTGTTGCTGCTGTTTAATACTATAATATTTTAAATTATCATAAAGTTTCTATGGTTTAATATGTCATTATGATCATAATGATAGTGAAAGAAAGATATTTCAAAGTAAATTAATTGTTATTGAAAAAAATGCAAAAGTTATTTTAAAATGTTGGTTAATTTCTAAACCATCCATTGATTTTTTTTTTCCGAATGTTTTACCCTCGACATTGTTACTTGATATGTCACTTCAATCTCACTTAAAACCAAACGTTACATAAAATATATATATATATAATTTCATACAAATATAAAGCATAAGTCATCCTTAAGATTGAAATACACATAAAATTGATAAATTTTTACAGGAAATCATAATTTTTTTTAAAAAAAAGGTGCACATTTTAAGTTTTATACAAAAATTATTTTTCTGTTCGATCATTGGTCATGCATAGACAAATCATAGTTAAAATTAAATGAGTTTTCTTATATCCGCACAAAGTTGAAAACAAGTTCACGTCTCATAAATAACATATCTTTTTATAATTTTTACACACGCAGCAGGTTTATTACTTAATTAATTTATGCAAATAAGCTGAGTCAAATTAAATTAAGGAATAAGAAGAATAAAGGCAGCTCAAAAAATATGTTCCATGGAGGCTCCATTTTTAGAACTTGCTTACTTGGAGGCACGCACGACAGAGAGAGACAAAAATTAGCGGTAGATTAGGTTAACCTAAGTTTTCAGTGTGGACGCAAACAAAGACGTAGGCTTTGATGATTGTAGGTGTGGCTCTGGGCGGTTTCCTTTTATTGAAATCGCGTCTTTATTTATTCATCTCATTTCTTTTGTTTTTGCTTGCTCTTAGTTTTTGACTTTTTCGTCAAATCTCAAAAATCACAACAAAAGGTGACAACGATTGGACCACATAAGAACACATTATTGCCTTTATTAACCGTCCATTTTAGATACTACTTCCGGTCATAATTATAAGAGCCAGTTGACTAATTTGAGAAGATTAAAAAATTTAGTTAAGTTAGTTATTTGTAATGAATAAATATTATTTTTCCTAAAATATCCTTACTAATCAATTTTATTATCTAGAATTATCATTATTAGAATTACTATTTTGGAAAAAGTAGATAAATATGAGAGACAAAGTGGATTGGGGTCTTATATTTAGGATCAAAATAAAAGTCAAACAGGATTTTATATGAAGGACCGGTAGTATAAATTAACCGTCCATCTTGTAACAACTAATGCTATAATTATTATCCTCGACGTTTTGGCCTCACAGCAAGGGATTTGGTTTGCTTTCATTTTTCACTGCCTTAATGAGGGGGAAAAAAACTGATTAGAATGCTTTTGTTAATTATGTTATAGTTATTGGATTCAGGCCAATACTTAAAATCTCGTCGGAAAAAAAAGCGCCCATACTTAAGATAATTTTTCATTCCTTCTGTTGCAAATTAAGTTGTTAGGTTAATGAGTATTTTTTTTTAATCAAGCTGATTGATTTAGTTAAACCAATAGAAACTTTTCTTGCAAATAACAAATTCTGCGCCCCCAGGACTAATTCAATTGATAAAAAATTTATAAAATGTAGGTAAGGAATCGCACTCAAATCATTGATGTACTTAAAAAACTCAGTTTAATTGAACCTTCCAGTCTTCCACTTAGATTTTACACTTAAATATTCATTCATTCAATAATAACCACTACATGTAACATTGATTTTGATGACTAATTTTTTTCTCAGTATAGTGCGAGTGGGTGTTGTGCTCACCAAATCTACATTTTTCCCCTCTAGAAACAACTGCTTTTTTCCCCTACCACTCTTCTAGAAATAGTGTCTTTGACAATTTGCTCTTCGTTCATCAGTCATGCCATTAATCGTGAAAAATGGAAATGGGATGGGCAATATAGCAGAAATTGCGAACCACCTCATGATAGCATTTACAATCTCACTTCCACCCAGTGCAACACTATTTTACTAAACCACAAGTTGTAAAGCAGACAACTTGTTGAAGCAAACTTGTACAAACTTGAGAATATTACTAATGCACTCTACAATACAAAATACCTGCAATCTAAACCTCATGCTATGTTACAACTTACAACAAACATCTATATATGTTAAGGAAAAGACGGGGCAATTGCCCTCAGGAAATACCTTGTCTAGTGAATGGATTCATCAGAATCTTCTTCAGATGTCACATTAGACTGTTCAGCCATTTGGTCTTCAATTTCATGGTCTTCTATTACTGAGGCACACATCTTGGTCAACGCCGCAGTTTTGCTTGCTCTCTGCGACCGACTGTATGCCGTGTGATGGGCGGTGATAGGAACTGCAGATGCGGGTGAGACTTCTTCTTCATCCTCCGAAGAGTCTTGCTCAATCCTCACTTTTCTTCTGGAACGTGTTGTTCTGGTTGTTGGGCGCGTGGCTGGTGTTTGTGGCATTGCAATGGGCCCCGCAAGATCTAGATCGAACTCAACTTCCAATTTCCCTTCAATAAATTAAGTGGGAGAATCAGCACGTTACCAACACGGAAGCAAATATGTTACGTACTAAATTAAGTGGTCAGTATGAAGCCTAGCTTCATTTTGTAAGAAAATCAAAAGGTTCATGAGGAATATAATTGTTAGATGTGCAAGATTAAGATCAGGACCAGCATGCTAATAAGACATAGTCACTACTTCCAACAGCATTCACTGTTTTAAATCGGATTAGTCAATAAAGGTAAACTAAAGCGTTGGTGCAAGAGAAAACTTGAGTATTACCCAAAATGAGATTAGCTTCGACTTGCGACAATTCTTCATCTGGTTGTTTATCTAGTGTCATGAGACGTTCCGCCATACGCTTCAATTCTTTTACGAGATCTTTCTCTGACAATGCATTTTCAACCACAAGACTTAAAAGCATCCTCATGAACTTTATTGGCCCTTGTTCCGATATCCGGAAGCGAAGCATGACGAGCGTTCTAGCTAATGCCGACACATATGACTTCTCAGCAGCTGTCTTCTTCGAGGGAAAGCTTGCCACCTCAACAAAGGAAGTAGAGGGTAAGAAGGAAAAGAAGAAATGAAAAAGGGAGAGCATCGTTAATTGATGTAGGATCGTGCAACGTAGTTCTTGACTTTTGAACGAAAACGCAGATGATTACAAACATTCAATTGGGAATGACACAACTAAGCAGTTCTCGGCAATTATGTGATGCAGCGATCCTTTTCCTTGTTTTTTTTCTTTCGGTTGGGGGGGGGGGGGGGGGGGGGGCGCCAAAGCAGGGATCTTTTTCATGTATATTCACCATAAGGATTAATGACTACGTTACATGATAGCCTAATAATTGCCAGCTAAGTCCTAGAAAGGTGAAAGTGAAATCAGGGAAGTACCACGGTTAGTCAAGGGGGGGGAAAAACCAAGAAGAGAAAGCTTTGGCATAACTCAAACCAACTTAGAATTCGCTTGAGGGTACCTCAATGGCTATGCGTATTGCAAGCCCCTCTTCATCACACTCGAAAGGAACTTCTGTAGTATTATTTTCACACTCTGGTTGAGTTTCTTCGGTGTACAGAGGGAGCTGTATCATCTGCAGCATAAATCGGGAAGCTTGAACTGCACGTTTCCGCATCTGAGACACCATAAAAGTAGAACCTCCAGAGTTGCCATCAATTCCTGGCCACATTTTCCGCATGACCGGAATGAAAGCTTTGGATGTGCACTTCTGTATGCAGAATGCAGGTGAAACAATTAGGGCCTTGGATTGGCCAAGCAAAAAAACAATAACGACTGCAAACAAAAGACACATTTTGACGTGATAACAGCAATGCTTGCCTTGTGATTGGCCGAGAGACATGGATAATGCTCAAAAAAGACAGAAAGACACTGCTTCATCCTGGTCCAACAGTGAAAGAGTCAATGTTAATTAGCTCCCACTACAAGACAACAAAATTAGAATGTGGGAGGAAAAAATTGTTAATGGCGCACAAACTACCTCTGTGATTCTGTTTCATCGCTAAAAAACAAGGTAATGAGCTTCGATAAAAGCACAGGATGCAAAGAAGCCGGTATGCTTGGATAATGCTGACTTAGGAGAAGTATTTTCGCAAACCCCTCTCCGACAACAGCTTGAACGCACTCATCTTCATTACAATTCGAAAGATTGCCCCAGTCATCTTTTTCAAACCCACCATATAAGAGATCAAGCAGTCCAACATTTAGATCGCCTTCTAAATCAGAAAAGTTCACAGGACTGAAAATATTCTTGTCAAACTGGATTTGGCTTGCATTGTCGTGCATCAGCACCCTGTCAACTTCTTGAGGACCATGCCACATCCCAAGATCGAATAATGCTTTGCACGCCTCTATGCTAATTGGGTGTGGTCCTTTAATGTACGAAACCCTCAGTTGCTTTACAAGTTCTTCACTTGGCATCCGCTCCAGCAAACCAAAAAGACCAAGACATCTGATGGCAACCCTCTGCACATCTAAGTGAGCATGTTTTGCCTGCATTTTTCAAATTAGAAGATAGTTATCAGTGCCATCCACCAAGCTTCTGATCAACATTTAATATTGTTGTTATGGTTCATGGATTTCCTTCATCCGTAAGAACACAAGTAAAAGAAATGCTGAAATGAGTAAGGAACCCTCCAATGTCCCAATTTTTCAAAGATCATAAGTTTTATTAATGGAAAAGGAAAAATAAAAGGAAGGAAGCTAAATGAGGAAAACTCGGTTACCCCTGGAAGTAATAAAGACTGCAATAGCTCAATAGCCTTGCCCTGAACATAGCGGAATGACGTCACATTTTTCAGCAAAAGGCCAGTAAGCGAAAGACTGTGTATCCACTGCACACAATCTGCTGTTCTCTCCCTGCAAGGTTGAGCTAGCTCTTCTATGATTGCAAGAACGACTTCTTCAAATTCACCAGGAGCAGCATGAACTTTCTTTGCTAAACTGGCTATGGCTTCGGCCCAATCATTGTCTCCCCCAAAATTTAACCCGTCTCCTATAACAATCACATTCCCTTCATCATCATCCTCATGTTCAAGAGGCTTGCGCATCAGTTCCTGCAGAAATGCACTAGCAACCTTTCTATTTGTAGCATCAGAAAAATCGAACATTGTACCAAGCAAAAGTAGCTGTCTGCAAGCGAAGCGATGGTTTGATCCTGTGAATATCATATTTCAGATCATTTCAGCATGCAACGAAGAGTTGAATGCATCATACTAGTGCTTCAACCACGTAAACTATACCTACCAGCATCACTGTGAGCTCTGACTAACTCTATGTAATCATTAACTGTTGCAGGAAGAATTTTTTCCAGAAGGTCATTTTTATCTGATGCTTCTGCTGCATATACCTCTGCTTCTGTGCCCGTTGTAGAAGCAGCTTCAGAGCCTTTGGCCTATTATGGTTCATGTTTAAATCGTTACTAGCTAGGAAAAGAAAATTGCAGCTCTAGTATTGCAAGTAAAATGACTATATAGTTCAGTAACTAGTACAAGTCAAAAACAAGAGAGAGCAAATGAACCCGCCAAAATTTTTATCGACCAAAACAATCTGACTTTATTGCTCTAGATATACCTACTACACTTGGATAAAAATGCTAGTAATATATGAAATGCTAAGAGTCCTATAGATGTCAGACTGAAATGTGTAAAATGCACAAGAAAAGAAAGAAGGGTCGCTACATACTCAGGTGAAACAACAATTTGCAGAAGGGACTAGACTTTAGCACAGAGATTAACACCTCTCTCAGTGAATTCTCAAACAAAATTATGACGTGCAAAAAATCCTTTACCAAGCCAATCGTGTTAAGTTGAGCGGTAAGAACTTTATGGTTATTTATCAAAATAAAATGATGTCAGACTATGCCTCCACTTCTTTCTTTGAGCTTATAAAGAACTAAAGGTAAAGAAATAAGGGATACAGATATACCACTCACATGTGCTTCTGACTGCAAATGCTTGCATACAATTCTCCAGTAAAGTGCCACCTCTGCTTCCATCAGCTTAATATTTGGCGGGCAATGGACTCCGCTCCCTGCAGAAGATAGAGAAGCAATGAAGACACCGTACAACAGCTAAACAGGATTTCAGTATTGTTCTGTTAAGCTTAGCAGTTAAATATATCACAGGCAGGCTCTACACTAGTATTAGGGAAACTAAATCAACAGAGGCCTGTCTACCATTTTTTGTTGATTTCGTGACAAAGCATTAATCTCAAACATCAGAGATAATTTCATTTCAAATCGTATTATCTTACGTATATGTGTTCACCACCATAATCAGCACGTCTTCCCAAACAACAAACATGTTTTAAATAATCGAACCAGGTAGCAAGAACAATTGGCGAAACATGTATAAGAATATCAAGAAGCATGGCTAACCTTGTGTATTGACATTGTTTGAGGATATATACTGCTGAATGCTGGAACCACTTTCCAATTTTAGGAAACCAGCTTTTAGAAGCGCCTCAATAACCGACTCGCTAACAGATTCATAGGTCTCAACATCAAGATATTTGAGAAGTTCAAAAGGATCACCATTGCAGCACTTCGAAAGCCATTCATCTTTCATTAGTTTGAAACATTCCTTTGAGACAACACTAGAACGGTCAGCCAGTCCTCTCCGAAGAATTAATGTCCTCAGTTTGATGCTGCAGAGAAAAAAATCAACAAAATGTTAAAAAAAAGAAGAAGAGGACAGATTGCAATTGCGACAATAAAACATCCACTCTAGTGACATAAAGTACAGGATATACAAAATGAAAGAACCGAAATGAAATCATGCTGATAATGTTCATTATTTATAATCTCGAATTGTTAAAAGCAGATAAAAAGTTTTGCGAGGGGTAAACAGAAGAGAGGTACAGGGAGGAAGGAGAGGGGATTATTTTTACTTTACTGCGCCACGCTTACCTTAGGCTTTGAAGAGGAAATTTATTAGCAAGAACACAGTATGCTGCCTTGCGTACAGACTCACTCACATCCAGGGTACAGTCAATGATCACTTGAGAGGTTGCACTAGAAGGAGGTAAAGATAACACAATCATTTTACGAACATCCTGCGCGGTTTACAACATAAATTATAGTAGAACAATGTTTCGTGCATTTCGTTGGCAACAAAAAAAAAAAAAAAAGGTTTCGTACATTTATGGGGGAATAGTGGAATACACCATTAATTATCACCAGCACCAGTTTACAGAGAGAGAAAAAAACCGCAGGATACTCACCGCATTCTGCTCCAATGGAAGCACCTCGAGAAACAAATCAAGGATATCTCGATTATCAGAGTCATTCACAAAGCGAGAAAGCGCCCTTACTGCAAATGTACGGACGAAAGGGATCTTGTCCCTTACCCGCAACTTCATGCATTCTATCACCTCATCCCATAGGTCATCACTCACTTCTGCATCGTCTGGCAACCGCAATATGACCTGCAAAGGTGTGTATTTAATATAACAAAACCAAAAGAAAGATACCAGAGCAAGCAGGAGGCACCTGTTGGATAAGTCCATTAATTACCCATGATAAGTTTTTCATAACGACTATTTTCCCCAGGTATCTGGATAATGAATGAACACCACTTTTAAAAATGAACACCACTATTATTATTAGTATTCGTAAATGCAGTGTCAGTGTAAATCTCCACGATAAAATTCAGGAAAGCTAAGTTGAACTCTGAATTTCTCACAGAAGATAAGCATTACTATCCATACCTCAGAAACTATCTGACATGCTCGAAACCTCGCAGTCTTGTTGGCTGCTACGGCTGCAACCAATAGAAACTTGAGAAAATGGTCCAAGAATTCATCGTAAGTGGAATCATTCCCGTTGTCACGGACACTGGCGAAAACAGAGACAAATCGAACTACTCGTTCAGCGGAAGCAAGACGCTTCTGGAAATCGAAAAGAGGGATTAGGGCTGCGGAGAATGCAGAAAAGAAGTGGGGAAGGGAATGCGATTTCGAACGGAGAACGGAGAGCTCCTTGAGCTTTCGATTGTGAGTGGCGTACGAGGTCCGAGCCTCATCGAATATTTTAGCAAGTTTCTGTGTCAGATGCTTCTTCTCTTCGTCGGTGTCTCCCATCTCTCTGAGCTCTACGAAGTGGTTGGAGCGGTAGGATCTGAAGATTCAGAGCGTCGTTTGGTTTTTTGAATATGAGCGGGAAATGCATATATCAAATCAGTTTGGGCCCATTGCAGGCCCAATAAATGAATCTTAAACTTTTTGAAAGCCCATTAACGATTGGGCCCTTTGTCATACGTTTTTCAATAACATTGGGCAACTATGGCCCAGAAAAATTAATCATTCAAATTTTGCTGAATTTTTAAGAGAATTATTATGTAAACTTCTTGATTAGGAAAATAGCGATTAAAGCTGTTAAAAACCTCAAGTCCCAGAAAGATTTAAAGAGGATTTTTGCCATATTTAGAAAATATAATGCACCTTGCTCCAGTAAAATTACCCCTTTTTCTTTCAATTTTGTAAATTAGCTGTGATTACCATATACTCCTCCGGTCCTAAATATAACATCCATTTTATGGGTCTTATATTTAGGATTGGAGGACTGGAGGAGTACATTTATATAAGCTGAATTTGATCGGAGATGGATCGAAGAAGCACACTATCTGATTTTAAGTAACAATGGGACCATCATAGTACAAAAAGCTTATCAAGAACTTATCAAATGGGTTGCTCTTTTTCCACCTTTCTTTTGTCAAAAGTAGGCACTGGGATTGAACATCAAAATGCCCACTTATATCTACAAGGACATGAACTTACCTATATAAAAAGCTTGTGAAGAGCATGCATGCATACTTATTAGTTATAGAGATTTATGGAATATGTTCTTTATTATAAGAACTAAAGAAGAAGACAAGTCGAGCAGGCATATACGATGCATGTTTAAGTGAGTGGTAATTATTATAAGAACTTTAAAGATTGAGATCTAGGGTTCATATGCATGTAAGTCTAATCGAAGGCCCTTGCCCCAAAGGGGGAAAAAAAAAGAATAAAAATAAGAGCCTTTGGACGAATGGTCCAGGACTTCTGTGTACAGATTGGCTCATGGAATATGTTCGTTATTATCGTGACTGTTGGATAGGAAAAGGAGAAAAGAAAAGTGGGTTTTTGCAGAGAACAGATAGTGGTTTTGGACCATTCAAGTCCCATACTTTGAAACAGTAGTAAGCATGAAGCCACAATAACATAGTGGCAGACTTTCGAGTTCTGTCCGGGGGAGAGGGGGGGGGGGGAACTTGTGATCAGGATAAGGTGTGATCTAGCCAGCCATCTAGGGTTAAGGCTGAGAATGACAAAAAGCCGTTTGGATGTTTTCAAGAAAGTTTCGCAAGATATATGTGTAGCATTCGCAGGTTAAAGTCGCAAGATTGGTGGTTTCACTAATTTCAAACTATGAAAAAAAATGTGTAGATCTGGCCTAGCAGTCCCATACAAGGTAATTGTGAGTTGGGTTTATATATAAATTCAAAGTCTGTATGAAGAGTATAATAAGTTTGTGAGTTATGAAATAATAATAATAATAATAATAATAATAATAATAATAATAATAATAATAATGACGACAGGGCTAGCCATGCTTCGTGCTTCTATATATGTTTTTCCCTGTGTTAGGCTGAAATTTAAAACCTACAGTTTCTTGTATTGTTTCTCTCATTGACTGTATGTAAGCATTGGATTGGTCAATCTGTCCTGATCATCCATGAAAGGTTAATTGTCACTAATGATGTAAGCATAATACATATTGTTATTTCCCCTGAATAAATAATAGACTTCCTCGAGGCATTTGAATCCATATATTGAGCCAGCTAGCTGATCACGCCTGAGATTACAGGAATAATAAATACAGGGTCAACTTAATTATGGCATTCTTTTATGATAGATAAAACTGAATCTTTACAGTTTATACCACTGATTCATTGTAGGGTGTCTAATTAAATGCAGTTTCAACATAATTTAATCCATACTGCCTCTAATTCTCAATAAAAGTTAGTTGATTAATTTAAGTAAATTAAGAAAGTTTGTTAAATTAGTTATTTATAATAAATATATACTACCTCCGTTCCTAATTATAAGAGCCAGTTGGCTAATTTGAAGAGATTAAAAAAGTAAGTTAAGTTAGTTATTTGTCCTAAATAAGTATTGTCTTTCCTAAAATATCCTTACTAATCAAGTGTATTGATTAGAACTATAATTGTTAGAAGGACTATTTTGAAAAAAATTGAGTAAATATGAGAGACAAAATGGATTGGGGTCTTATATTTAGGACCAAAATAAAAGTCAAACGGGGTCTTATATTAAGGACCGAAGGTAGTATTATTTTTCTTAAAATACCATTGT